AGAAATTATATTTTCCCGCAGATTTCCTACATCTTGGGGTGTTTTAGTGAGTCCGGGATTTATGGGAAATGGAAGGAGACATATTTCGCAAAGTGGCATCATTTTGTTGCGAATAAAATTCAACATGTAAGGCCGGAAGCAAGCTATGCTAAATTCTTTATGAAAAAGTTGACGAACGCTGGTGGGAACGAGGTTAACTGGCAAGAGGCAAAATCAGTATCGTGGGAATTTCTGAGGGCATTTTTTGCCTTTATAGGTGTCCTGATAGGGATGGAACTTGCTATATTTTGCGGGGAAATTAATTTGCCCGCAAAAATGTGGCGGTTATGGGACACTTTGCGAAGCAAGATTAAGGCTTACATGCAAGGAATGAGAAAGAGAAAACTCTTGAGAAAGTGGGCGACAAATAAGAAAAATGGGTAGACTATACTCGTTCCTGATATTCTTGTTCAGTACTTTATAATTGAAGTAGTATTACATAATAAAGTTAAATCGTGTTAAATCTATTTACAAAGTTAGAAATAAATATTTAGCATAACACATAAGCGATTAGAAACCAACCGTGTTCAAGTATTTTACTACTGCATAGTTGTGATTTTGTAAGTCAGACCTGTGTGAACCACGCGCTTCGGGAATACCACTGTTTAATTTTAAGATTAACCATATCAAATTTAAATAGTTTCATTAATTAAAAAAGTTTTTCCGTAACAAAACTTTAGCCAAAGCTAGCAACAAGTAGCGGAAATGTGTTCTTATTTCTCAGAGCCAAGTTAGACTAACGGCAGATGTGTCCGCCAGTGGTGAGACTATCCTAGGTTCGAAACCTGCCGCATTCCATGTGCACAGGCTGGAGTACTCAATACACCAGTTAGTTAATAACGGGATGCAACATTAATAGTGTGACGTGGGTGACTCCCGGAGGGTCAGAACTTTCCACACTTTCGACTGCTAACGCTCACTTGAAACTTTCAGTGTCGAGAGATTTGCTGGTTCGAACATACATACTTTTTGCAGTTAATTAATTTCACAACTTTTGGAGCATCTTGATCAGGTGTGGTGTATAAATATTTATCGGTATTCTGCTCATTTTCATCACAGTAAACGCGATAGGAAATGAATTTTTATGTAAAAGTAAAACACAAATGAATTAGATTGGGCTTATCAAAAAAGTGTTTTAGGACCGTCCATATAAATTACGTAGCGCAGAAATCGCGATTTTCTAGACCCCCCCTTTCAACATTTGACATGGGTAGCGTAGGTACGATATCATTCTTTAAGCTTTACGTAGTTTTTCATTGTTTTAAATATTTTGTCTACGTCGTTATTTTCATATTTCAGTATGTATTTGATAGATCGCAGTCCCCCGCATGATTAATATAAATAGGAACACAGAGTATCATGATGATACTATATCATCGTTGTGTACTTGGAAAATTATGTACATTAATATTCATATTTGTTCTTATGTGAATAAAGCACGACTTCACAAATTGTATATATGCATTTATAAATACAACCGTTCTGTGAAATTGATTAACGTGGCTTATCTGCGAAGACAAGCAACGGTTCATTATTTTCAACTACACTCTTAAAAATCTGGTAGTCACCTGCATACACAGTACATACTTGTATTGATACCATACGAACAATGCTTAGGATACGAAGGAATCATTATTTTCATGAATACTATCGATGATCTGGGTTGAATTAAAAACTACCTTGTTTCCCAGCATTTTAATTTTCACGAGATCAGTGAATTACTTATTCACGTACAGATATCCGCATGCATAGATACGTGTGTATACCGCTCTCCACGTACATACAGTCAATGGAAAAAGTATAGGCAACACCCACACCAGCTAAATATAATTGGCTATAACTTTTGAATGCATTATCAAATTAGCTTGAAGTTTTGCATACATTTGACAAATCTAATGTAGAGTTCGACTATAATCCTGTTTTATTGATTAAAATTAGATCAATGCAGTTTTTAAACAATTTGTTGGAAAATTTGCAAAATTAACCCGCAAAAAGTATTGGCACCCTCCAACTTAAAAAATCATAGAACAAAGGAACGCCAATTTTACTGCGAAAAACTGCTTCTAGTATTACGTGACACCTCCTCTCGACTCAATAAGAGCAGAAATTGATCGTGGAATTGATTCAACAAGTTTCTTTATAACGTTTTTTTATATGGCTGCCCATACTTCTTTCCAACTTTTGACAAGCTCGTTTTTCGACGAGTGGTTTCCCACCAGTCCCTCTTTTCTCAACACGGACAATCAGAATCACATCGGAAGACTGTGCAGCCAAAGAAAGAAGCTTAACCTTTTGGCTCTCCAAAAATGTGCATCGTTAATTTGGCTAGACGTTTGGGGTCACTACACTTTTGGAATATGAAATTCCTTCCTAGGTCAGGTTTTTGTCAACTGACTTCAAATTATCGTTTGGAATGATTACTTAGACCTTGTTGGTCATGATTTCATCGATAATGACCAGGTGACTACGCCGCGACCTAGTCATTTAACCCCAAACCATAATCGATCCTCCTATGTGTTTAACTGCCATATGAACATATTCGTTTTTCGGATCCTGTTATTGCATGTACCAAACTTGAACTACTCAATCCGATCCGAATAATCAAAACATGGTCCTGTAGCACCAATAGACTCGTTTTCATTCGTTAGAAATTTATGTAGGGTGGTATTTAGCACATTAAAATTTCCCGAGTTTATTCGGTTTGGGGGCCCACGCGTCGTTTGGGCTACTGGACCCTGAAACCCCATGGCATGATTTTTGATTGATCACCATATTGTATGATATGTTGACCCCACGGTTCATACCCAAATTCAACATGGTTTTGGGAGCTGAAATATCCCGATCTCGAGTAATAATCTGATTTATTAACCCGTTGATTTTAGGATTAGGTGACTTTTTTCTGCCGGATCATGGGAAATCAGCAATTAAAAATGTCACTTCATGTTATTTGGCTACGTTTCGAATACTAAATATAGCGGAGCATGTTTTTTATCTGAGATTTCGATATTCAAGCTTGTTTGAGAAGGAGGCAAGATTATTTCTCGCTCCGCCAAAAATAGCTCGTTTGGTGTCGCAATTTTGGCTCTAGACAATGCCAATCTGGACTTACGAAGCAGATAAAGTAATATTTTGTGATCTGATTAGCTTACCGTGACAAGAGGCAGAGGTTTATCGTTATGCAAATTTCGCACTAATAATTATCACATAGGTTGCCAATACTTTTTGCAGGTTCCAACCTGACGCGTTCGTATACAAACCAGAATAACGTTACGGTTTTTTAATTTCAGTCGGGGACATGATTATGAGCGAACACTACATTAGATTTGTTAAATGTGTACAAAGTTTCATGCTAATGTAATAATGCATTCCAAAGTTATAGGCAATTTTAGGTAGCTTGCGTGAAGGTTGCCTATACTTGTTCCATTGACTGTATATAAATATTAGCATGCACAATTGCTAATATATTGAGATAACTATATAACTATATAAAGATATATATGTGGACGTATCACATATGTGCATGTACATATTATCTACATGTCAGAGTTAAAATAAAATCAAGTTATGCACAAAACTTTTCCAGAACAAACATCTACGTGGCTTAGTTAGCATGTTGGTGCGCAAATTAAATTTCCATAGCAATAAAAATTCATTCGCAAATCATGGGATAACAGTGAATTATTCCACTTCTAACTTAGAACGTAGGGCAGAAATCGTTCAGTCTAAATAAGGTACATATGTACGTATGCGCGTTGATGGTGTTATAATTTGCAAATTAAACATACATTTTTTGCATTAATACCGTCAAGGTGAAATAACTCGTCGGAAATAATAAAATAAACCATGGATCCGGTGAAAGATTCCTTGTCGACCAGTCAAACTCAAAAAAGGAAGGACAACAAACACCTTAAGAGATTGAGCGATGCGAAGTTCTCACTCTTCGATCTCGTCTTTCGCAATGATTTTGTAACAAACTACTAGATACTGACATTTTTTATAGGTTATTTAGTACAAGTATTTTCACTATTTCTAGATTGGAAATAAAATTGCATCCTATCTGAACTTGGCCGATATGAAAGATGCTAGCACCAGTTGTCGTGCTCTTTACGAGATGGTCCGGCGCTCGCAAAATTTTCGCGAGATTGCAAAACTCTGTTTAAACCACGAAAACCTGGCTCGGAGCCAATACTTCTTCCGTCCTGGAATGGCAAAATCCGTAGATAGTGGACTTCCTCTGTCTAAAAGAAAAACTATAGAAAAACGTTATTCGTCTTTGGAGAGATTTCTGGGTTTTGGTGTGATTGAGGCGAATGTTGCCGTGTCTAAAAATATTTTGATAATTCTTCAAAGAAACAGCGATTTCCTTAGGAACGTTCATACCGTGAGTATCATCAATAACTCGAAAAAAGAAATAATTCCTGAAGTTGTTCCCATGTTGCACTTCATTTTTGTCAATACCTCACTTGTCACCCTGAAAGTAAGACGAGGTCGCATTGAATTTAACAATTTAATGTAATCCTAATCTGATTAATTCGCATGTCTATATATTTTCTCAGATTGACCGAGAAGTCGCAGTACGTTTGAAACTTTCGGATCACTTTAACACTCAAACTGGGACAGAATACTTTAGCAAACTAAGAAATCTGGAAATCATTGGTAAGGAAAGGGATGCATGGGGCTACCCCGATTTCCACGACAACATCAAGTACTTTTCCACCCTGCCTTTAAAATTACAGCGAATTGCAATTGGGAAAGTTGGATGTAACTTCACGCATTATGAAAATATCGCTGATTTGATCGTTGCCAACTCAGAATCGATTCAAGATCTCGTCTTGGATTTTAAAGGAACTTGCCTTTGGGGAACTAAATACTTTGGAAACATTCCCACTCTTCCACTTTTAAAGAAATTGGCCACGACGCTCACCGATGGAGACGTAGAGATTGGAAATTTTATCGTTTTCATGATAAATCAACCACTCCTTGAAGAGTTGTCCGTCAGTGTAGTGAAGAAATGCGGGCCAAAGCTACTCACTGTGATTCAGGAGAGGGGTTCAAAACTCAAAAAGTTGCATCTTCGAGCCAAAAATTTTGGTGATGGGAAAAACGACGTAAACTGGGGATTTCTTGCAAACATGCAAAGCTTGAAGGATTTTGCCTTTGTCCGACCAAAGTCCAAATCCAATGGCTGGGCGAGTGTGACATCGCATTGTGAAGAACGTGGGGTCACTTTCCTCCGTACCCTTCCAACTTGTCTCACGCATCTCAAGCTCCGCGGAATTGATAGGTTTTGGTGGGACTCGGATCAAAATAAAGAGATCGGCGAATTAGAGAAGCAATCCTTGTTAAACAGATTCACAAACTTGGTCACCCTCAGCATCGTCCATTACGATGGGAAAAAGTTGAATGAGGATATTCTAGAGAAGGTGAACACCACAATGTTAAAACTGCAGAAGTTGGAACTCTCAAACTTTGGCAAGGCTACTTTATACCAGCATCTTTCGCGTGAGGCAATGGTTGGAGTAAACTTGGAAAACCTTCAAGGTATGTAAATTGCTTTGGACAATTAGTTTTCAGGTGTTCCAAATTAATTGAAGTTTATAAATATACTGCTGAACTTTAACTTGCACCATCCCGCGTTCGTATCCTTCCCATGTAGTATGGGATACGAACACGGGAATCAAATTTTGGTGGAAGTTATAGTTCAGCAGTATTAATATTTACATAAATCGTAAAATAGGTTTGACTGACATTACCCTTAAGGGGTGGGGAAGTGTCGCTGAATTGTTGGGTTCTACTTCACATAAGTTTTTGCTAACTTTAACCCTTGTCACGGATGAAATCGTAAGTAACTAATTCTGATCTAACTACGATGGTAAGCATGTACATGAACAAATTTTTCTACCAGCTTTTCCATGATTTTCATGGCTTGCATAAATCAACAAAAGGTGATTTCATAAAGTATTCATTAACCAGATTTTCAATCGTAGCAATTTATTATGTTTGATTTTTTAAATAACAATTTTTTTTAAATTTTAAATTTCATTTTTTAAATGACATGCAAAGCTTCTGGTGGGCCGTCTCTTATTTAAGAAATCAAACTGTAACAATAGACAGGTTCTGAAATGCTACATGTAATGTGTATGTAGCTTGGACTTGTAGCAGTCGGTTGCTAGGGTTCGGTCGGAAAGTAAAGAAACATTTGAAAAATGCCTGTAAAATCCGGAAAACTTAATTAATTCCAATGACACTTTTAAAGGTTAAGAACAAGGTCCTTATCGTTCAATTTTTTGCTTCATATGGACCATAGACCCCCATCCTTCCTATCCTTTATGGCGAATTATTTGCCTCGCGATCCCCAAAAGTGCTTTGCCACTCTTTCTTGCTACCACTTTTGAGGTGTGTGTCCAAATGTGACGGAATCTTACCAAGTTTTTGGGTGGTTTTATTCGACGACTATATTCTCTCTTGGATAATGCCCAAAATCGTTCAATTAGTCTTGCCTGAGGGACGTAGGGAGCATATTCCTTTTTTTGCAAAAAAATCGATTTTTTCGACAGCAGGTAGTTCAGAACAACTTTTGAAGAATGACATGTTGCTGTGCCCGGTCAGAAAAGTACATTACGATTATTGATAAAAGGGATCAAGATCTTCTTTACACAATCGTTCAGACATCTCTCCGAGGTCATGGTGGCTGTGGTCACGAACGGCTTTGAGACGTCCCCCAATGAGTCCAATTCTTGCCCGATTATGTGCTCTGTGGGAAATTTTGACTTCAGCGTGTACTTGAAGGAATCTTTAAACGTATTCTTATTAGTACCTATACATGAGTAGTACTTCCTCCCAGGGACTTCATCTGGATCAATCGAGCAGTTGGTCTCATCATCCATGACCAGAATCACGAGCATGTTTTGCTTGCTCGTTTTTCAGCACTCTGCCGAGAGCTGGGCTTTGCTCTTTTTTGCTGACCTTGGTTGTACTTTGGTGCAGGGGTCGCCTTATAGGATTTGACCCCCAACTTCGTAGGTTTAATGTCATGTAAACTTAATTTTGATATTTTCAATTTGTAGCCCAAATAACCATCTGATATCCCAAGGTTATTTTTGCATCCCTGCTGAACTTCACGTATTACTTTGGGGGTCGCTACACGAGCTGGACGATTTTTTTAGTTTTTGAATTCAGCATTCCTCCTCCCTTCATACATATCTAAAACTCTACAAATTGCCCCATTATGAATTTTTTCTCTTTCGAAGTGGCTATGAACCATTATCCGAACGCGCTCGCACACGTTTTCGTAGTAGTGGCAAATCTTTTTTGCGAGTTGCTCTGAATTTTTTGTTCTCATTTTTGAACTATTCGAGATATTAACTTCCCGTTTTCTGATTTGGATAGTCAATCGCATGGACTACAGTGTTTCTGCTGTTAAATAACACCTGCACGAAATTAGTGCACGAAAATGTTTTTAAACGTTTAATAACAACCACTAAAAATCCGAAAAACTGCATGAAAATGCATGAAAATGCACGAAAATAATTTGCGTGCAAATAATATTGGAATAATGAAATTTTTTGTATATATTCATACAAATTAAGATATTCATATAAATTAAGATATTCTCCTCATTATTTTTAGTGTGAAAATATTTTTCATTTTTCAATATTAAAAATGAATGAAAGTTTTGAAAATAAATTAACACGACGATTTTTACACATCTGAACGGCTTAATACGGGCTTGAGTTTTATAGGAAAAATACGTGTCATTCGTTTGAAATATTCTTGCCGAATAATAGTTCCGTGTATTTCGAAATGTGCACTAAATTCAAACACCTAGATAGAATAAGTTTCACTAGTGCAATCAATGGCAACTATGATGTATACATAAGCCGCAACTCGGGGGTAGCAAGTAGTGTGGTAAGGTATAGAGGTTCAGGTTACTAAAGCTTATCCCCATTTCAAATAATATGAAAATATAAAATTGCCTGAAAATATATGAAATTCACTGCATAAATTGCATTTCATTTATTATTAGGCATTTTTATGCATTTTCGTGCATTTTTGTGCATTTTTATGCGTTTTTATGCATTTTTGTGCATTTTTATGCACTATGCATGCATAAAAATAATTTCGTGCGCACAAAAAGAAACACTGACTACAAAGCTACCGCGTTACAACTCAGTGACAATTTTTCTTTCAGACAAATAAATATACATACTTTTTCAAGTGTTTCTTTACTTTCCGACCGAACCCTATATAGGTATGTAGCACCGATTCTGCACGTTTTCGCGTTTAATATTTCGAGTTCATATACACTCTAAATAAAAATTAGTAAAATTTACTCAAGGTTTAGTAAAGAAAGAGGATTGCACAACCAAAAGGTACACTCACAGAAAAATCGACACCGAATTGACACCATGCCGGTGTCTATATATGACTCTACCGGTTTGGTGTCAAATTGACACGGTGCGGTGTCAATTATGTTGCACACCGCTGCGGTGTCAACCCAACATGCCGTTGTGACAATACCAACACCGCGAATGGAAAAGAGGTTGTGCTCAGTTATGTTGATTCGACACTGCTAGGTAACATTATATGTGTATTTTAATATATGAATGTCACCACCTGGTGACAAATTGTTCCCGGATTGTGACAACTGAAGTACAACTTTTAGTAACAGATGTTTTATTTTACATTCAATAATATTAATCACTTACAAAATTAATCAAGTATTTCAAACATATTCACAAGCAACAAATTATTACACTCGCACAAATTAAATACTACTTTGTGCTTCATACCTTAATGCACTTTTAAAGAAAAAGCTTATATGTTTTTAACACGGTGATGGTCTAAAATATGAGTATATCTTTCAGTTAAATTAACTTAGCAACAAGATATTTAATAATAATTAAATAGGTTGCCGGTTGGACAAATCCTTATTCGTCACTTTTGGCTCCCTCGTTGGGTCCATCGTCGAATTTTAGCTGTACTGGAAACAATAAGTTTTGAAAAATAAAAATACACACAGTAAAATAATTTTAATTAAATGAGGGCAAATTAATGTGTTACATATATTGACTCACCTAAGTCAAGAAATTGGAAGTACTTTAGTAGTCCTTAAACTTATTAAGAAACAATTTTTCCCTCGAAATCAATTGAACACACCAATTAATTTATCCATTTTGTTGACTTTTCGTGGAGGAGGAAGGAAAATGGCCGCCAAGCAGACCCGTCCATTGCGAAGAGACTGACACAATTTGGTGTAAAGTCCAAGTTTTGCTTACTGCGGTAACATCGCACGGTGTCAATTCGACATCATTTCAAGATATCGCTGATTCCGGTAGGGTGTCAACGCATTATTCTTCGTCAGTGTCAATTTTACACAACATTTTGTCACCATTTAATGGAATTGACGTTGACACCGACGGTTGGTGTTAACGAACTTTTGGGTTTTGTTACCAAGTTGCTAAGAGTGTAAAATTTGTCCGACGTTGTGTAAAAGCGTTGGGGAAATTTTGCACAACGGCTGGGTAAATTTTACCTTTTGGTTGTGTCTTCCTCATTTTTGCTCAACCTTGAGTAAATTTTCAGGATTTTTATTTAGAGTGTACGTGTTTATGTACAGTACACAAAAATTTAAATAGTAACTTTTTTTGTGATGACATTTAAATCACTGATTTCCTTCTCTAAGGAAATCATTCGTATTACGCAATACATAGTTTGTATAGGGAATTTAACGTAGATTGCGAAAGTGATATGAATTTTTGGTTTTTCCTTACCGATATTGAACCATTAATTAAAAAGTTGGTGGAGGAAAATTGAAAATCCATGCAAAAAATTAAATCGTACCATTCTGGGTTTTTAAAGAAAATTGCGTAGCACTTTGTCGCGCCTCAGTTTCCTAGAATTACAACTTGGATACACCACGGGTTGAATTCTACTAATTTATTGGTCACTTCCGGTCAGATTTTAGCTTTTATTTCGTTTTTAAGTCATGTTTCGACTTGTGGCTTTGACGGGAAATCCTCCTCTCAAATTATGTTCATACATTTTCAAGGGGATTGAATTCAGTAGATCGGGCCGTTTACTCGTTTTTCCTGTAAGTACTGCTTAATAAATAACATTCGCATATCTTTGGGGTCCCGTCAGAGTGGAAAATACATTCCTGCCGGAGTCCAAATTCTATCGCCGACTGGACTTGATTTACCTCCTAAATTGTCGATTTGTGCTCCATACTATATAGATTCCCGATCTTTATTTTATGCACACAAAAGAAAGATAAGTTGGTTTAATTCCTTTGTGCCAGCCTTTCTGTAACCTCGAATATTAATGTTGCTACATTGTCTACTAATGGGTAAATACAGACGTCAATAAAATATATAATAGGGCATGACGAAGTGGGATGTAGGCTTAGCGATACGTTTCTTAAGACGGAATCCAAGCCTTGAAAAGATATCTATCAGTGGGAAGTATCTGATCCTTCGATCCGATTTGGTGAAGGAGTTAAAGACCAAATCTTCCCGACTCGTCCATGTCGAATGGGTTAGTTTGCTTCGCCCTCTTTACCGATTGCATGTCAAATTGACCCACGACATATTGACCCAGCGACAGATTGATCCCATGAAATTTTGACCCAAGTGATATTGACCCTATGCTATACATGCACATAAGTAATACTTACTGCATTCTACATACACGAATATATACTCAATTTTACTTCATACTTAAATTAACGTCAAATATTCCAACCAAAAATCGATTACCCCAAAAACCCAGGTAAATCCCCTGGGTAAGGGGTTGCAATAACAAAACCCCAGGGTTTTCCTTACCCTGATGGCGATTAACCATGGACCGTCAGAGATTTGGGAGAAAATTTAGCAACTACCTCGTGTATTAAGTTCTCAGAGCAATCTGGTTTTTCAGTAATTTCGCAAGAAATCAGCTTATGTACAAACTCAATTTCAATAACTAATTAATTTGTAGAATTTTTAATAATGTTGTATTACCATACTTAATTATATTTGAAAACCCTGACTACCCGTGGGTATTGGTCATACATATTTACTACCCTAAAACTCACCAAAATCGACGAGACCCCAATACTAGTACACATATTCTAATTATGATTTTATGTTTTAGTGGTTTAAGTTTGACATTTTTTTGTAATTTTACAAAAAAAAGAGACTAGACTAACAATTATTGGAGCAATTGGTTAATCTCCATATCATCAAAGGAAAACCCTGGGGTTTTGCTACTGAAAACAGGGGTTTTACATGGGTTTTTGGGTAATCGATTTTTGATTGGAAAAATTGTATTGAAGTATGAAGTAAAATTGAGTATGAATTTGTATATGTAAAATGCAGTAAGTATTACTTACATATGAACATGTATAGCATGGGGTCAATATGACTTGGGTCAATATGGGTCTGGGTCAATCTGTCGCTAGGTCAATATGAGCGGGTCAATTTGTTGTGGGCCAATTTGACGCGTCACCCCCTTTACCAGTTAAGCAGCAATTAGTTACAAATAACTATGTTTAACCAGGGCAAAACATCAGGAATGAACGCACTGGACTCGGACGCATCGGGGTACTCGAATAACGACAGCGAAGTTTACAACTATAATCGCCAAGATGACTACGATGACTTCTTTAATCGCGAAGATGACTACGATGAGTTTAACGGAGAAATTTCTGACTATACAGCGTGCGATCGGGAGTGTGGATATTGTGGACGATGTGACTATTGATTGCATTAATATGTATGAAACCCGCTTCCGGGCGGACTATATATTAAAATTTATGTATGACCAACGCATAAATACTTCAAGTAAGCTAACCTGTTTATTGGTTTAATTATTCAAATCCTGCAGATGAGCTGCATTTCCGTAGTGAACGCTAGCGAATAAATAAATTACTAAAAAATGAAAACTCACTTATTACGTTAACACTTCAAAAATAATAAACTTAGGTATATCCTAAAATTAATTATATGTTTAGACACATAAATATGCATGTATGCATTCTAAATTGATTGATTGATTGATTGATTTATTCAGCATAAATCCCTTTCAGGCATAATTGCCCATAGAGTTACAGAGTTAAAAAAATATATATGTATAATATCGTTATACACATTATCATCATACTTGAGTCCTTAAGAATTATTGATTAATTGGTTAGTGCATTGGTTAAGTAGGCTTAATTGTAATGTGTATATACATTTGACTTTGTTGACTATTCTTCCAAAATTAATTTTCTATGTCTAAGTTTGACTTGAAGGTAGTTGGAAACATTTATGCATTGTTCTCTGTTATCTAGATTTAAACATTTTGGCCAAAGCATTTCCTCCCCCTCTTTACGGTAGATCTTACATTTACAAATAAAATGCTGAAACGTATTTTCTTCCCTTATATTACATAAAGAGCAGGATTCCTCCGCATCAAATGTATGCCTGAAATTCTCGTGTGTAATACGTCCATCGTTCAACCTGAATTGAGATATAAGTGACGAGTGCTTAAAAGTCAGTTGTAATCTGAGATACTTAGCTGGCCTGAGCTCTCCTTCCATAGTTAACGCATACCCACCATGCCGTTTCAGTCATGGAATTTATATCCTCCTGTCTTTTCATGTCAATAATACGAGTCAAGATTTGCGGTACTTCATTTTGCATTTTTGTCAAGTCGCCGATTAAACAAAAATTGCCACAACCTAACTGCTCTAATGCATTGTGCAATTGTGAAACCCAATTATATTTTAGTATGGACATGCCATTCTGCCATTCTTTATACAGTGCTTCAACACATAGTTTTGGATATCTCTCCTCTTCCATATGCATAAGCTTAATCCAATATGATAGTGCCTGTTTAATAATACGCAAAAGAAAATGAGGAGAAGCAGTCTCCAGCCGTATTAAATATCCTGGCACAGTTCTCTCCACCCCAAGTAGTCTTTTGTAGAAATAGACTTGTAATTCTTCCATTTTATTAGCATATCTGAGGCCCCATACTGCTGATGCATAGAGAGAGCATGAGAGAGATATTGACTCAAATAATCTCACTTTTGAGTTCCAGTCTGTTATTTTACCCTTGAAAACGGTTTGCCATACTGAGCTTAGCGCAGATATGCCATTCTTTTTAAATGCATCAGACGCCTTCTGAAAAACACCCTTTTGTGAGAAAATGACTCCTAGATATGTATATTCTGTGACGATTTCTATTGGATCTGTTCCATATAAAAATTGCATTCCTGTTTTTAGTCGACCCCCTTTTCTGGCTACCAATACTTTCGTCTTCCCTATGTTTAATTTCAAATCCCATTCCAAAAAGTAATTCCTCAGTAAGTTAATTTTCTTCTGCATATAAAATTCATTCGGGGCAAGCAGGATCATGTCATCGGCAAATAAGAGAATATGCAACATTAATTTATTGGACATTTTGATTCCTGGAATACCAGCGTCTTTAAGTACATTTTCGATGTCAGATATATAGAGAGAAAAAGAAGTGGAGAAAGCACACAGCCCTGAGAAAGTCCAAGCGTCAATTCAATCTCGTCCGAGTTACCATGCTCCGATCTTACACAAGTGGCTCCTACTTGATAAAGATGTTTCAGTATCCTAATTATTTTCCCCGATAAACCAAGCCCAAATAGCTTATCCCAATGCATTCTAAATAAAAGTTGTGAAAAATTTGCATAAGGTAGAGTATCAAACAAGATGATACATACAACAATTGAGGAAAACTTACACAACAGTTGGACAAATTTTACACAACTCTTAGATACATTTTAGCCAATGGTTTTGTCATCCTCGTTTTCACTCAAATTTGGGTACATTTTGCATAACTTTTATTTAGAGTATGTATCTGCCAATACATTTATCCAACTTTATCCAAGAGATAAATTTAACGTCTTCTATTGATGCTGACATCAAACTTAACGTTTAAGCAGTTTCTTACTTCTGCCTATTACCTTAATGTAGCGCATGCATGCACATATTTACATATATAATAATTAAGTAATAATTAATTGTACCTACATAACTGCTCACAGCAATTTCCATGAAACAGTCACTAATGAGAATGCATATATTTTGATAAGCAATAGTTTTAATGCATTGATGGCTTTCGTCAGTGTCAAATGTAATTAATTTCTAGAACATTCAAATTTGCATTGACCTATCTTACTTTTATTTATCATATATTAATAATTGTAACACGTGCATATTAACACTTTAATTAATCATGTAATTTGTAAATTTTAAAATAGAGTGAAACATTATTTATCACACTCAACGCTTCGAATGATGTAAATAAATATGCCTGTTCAGATATGTATTTATGTACAATATACGCTAGGAATAAATATTTGTAGAAAACTGCCTATCGACCCATGTGGTTTTCCTGCAAATAATGCGAACTTGTTCAGCAACGCAAAATCAGGCATTGCCTGATTACACGTGAAAATTTTTCCATACTTAAGCAAAGTATCTCTTCAAAAGTATTCAAAACGATAACATATTTGTGTGGCAACAATTACTTTTTTAAACCGTGAACATACTAGAATACCACACTGTTGCACATCTCTCCGCGTAATTTTTCTATAAATCGTGTAAAGTTTTTCTGCCAGAAAGACAAAACCATTGAAAAACATAACTTCAAAGAAGATTATGAAAATCTGTGCTATATTTCCCTTCATGACTAACGGCTCAGGCCCATCTTCTTCATAAGCAGTCCGATTCCTCAACTTACCCGCCATCTCGCTGTACCACAGCCATTTCCTGGCAATCCCAGATTGATGCAATGCCCGCATTCTGACTGGAATTCGAGGGTCGACAACATTTTGAATTTCCCATCCAGTCGGGATCAAACCAGCGAATTCTTTTCCAACGCTGTACTCTGGTCCTGGGCGATATTTTTCCAATGATTTTTTTTACCTTTTCCAAGTCGCTAACAAATCCCAAATATGCTATCCTCTCAGAGGCACATGAAAACCCGCTGTAGTTTGAAATTTTATTCCAAATGTCGGTTTGCTCACTAATACGTCTATGATGGACAGACAGGTTAATTAACTGCTTGCAAATCTTGTGAGAAATAACAGCAGAAGAAGTTTCAATGTTGTTGAGGGAAAAGGTATTTGCATCAGTCCATCCACCATGATATTCTACGCCATTTTCCAAAATTACAATGGGTACCGAATCAACAAAGGTGAAATTGCTGCTAATCAACTGGCTAAAATTTTCGTACAGGACTACACGAAGTGGTGCGATAGTGGATTGTACGTTGTCACCTCGGATTAGATTTGTCATGATTAACGACATTAGGATCCATGGTGCAAATACGAAATAGAGATAGATTTCTCGCTTTGAATTCCGCACAATGGAGGAGCCTTGTTCGAGTAAAATGTTATATCCGGTAGTTAATACGTATAATTGGATCACATCCTTTTTCCACGTTAACATAACAAAGAGCCCAAGGAAAAACCAGGTTGATATTAGCAGAGTCCATAAATCCCATGTGAAGACGTATACTAAATTTTCCAACGAGCTTGGCCGCGAACGTTTGTGAGAGCAACTTAGAAAACCGTACGGTTGTAAACTCGTCACCAGTTCAAGATTAGTACTGGAGCGAACATTAAGTATAGAAGGATCAGGTCCATAAGTTAAACATTGATCTTGCAGAAGTGTATCGTTTTGTGCAAGATGTGGTGCATGTTTGACAAAGCTGTAGCAACCAATTTCTCCAAATTTTGTGGTTGAGTTTCTCCATAAGAGCAAGTTTAGCAATACATCATCCACGCTGACACCAGCCTTTGTGATTTCGGAAAGTCTAATGTTTCTACACAGAGGGTGAAACCAATCGGGAAGAATTGACCAAGGCGTATTTTGGCCAATTATATTAAATTTATTTGCCACTCGTTCTATTTCTATTTCGTATACTCGATCATAAATTATGCTGAAATGTTGCTGCAATTTTGGGATCTCTTCTAGCCGGACGAGAGCTGGATGAGATATTTTTACTTTAATATCGACGAAAATATAGGTTATGTTGATTTTAATTTTCAGATAGGGACAATTTGTAAGGCGCTGGTCGTTTAGCTTTTTTCTCAATAGAATATGTACACATACATCTCTGCGAATACAACTTATACTACAATGAATAAAAGGATACTATGTATATGTATGTACATGTATATGTAGCGTGCTTGAATATTTCAGGCCTGCGTGTTTTGCTGAAGTTGAATTATTCTTAGATGAGGCAAAATGTAACAAAAAAATGTTATAAATGTGTAGATTGGATCGTTTTTGAGAAACTGAGATAGACCGACTACGTTTGTCATAACAGCTAGGTATCAGTGTCACATATTTATTGTTTCCGATATGGTTTTACACATGTCATGGAGGTCAAGCATTGCCCGATTATGTAATCCAGGAAAATGTCTAAAAATAGCTAGAGACACCTGATTACCAATAAGCCCACTGTGAAGGAAAAGTTGGGAAAGAGGTATTAACTTCTAGTAAAATGCGATAATTTATTTTTTTTGGTACACTTGCTCTAAAATTTGTAATTAATAGAACTAACCGAAGAAGGTTCTTTTTCAGGGTACTTGTATTTTAATCAAGACATATTTATATAAGCAAATATATTTCGGCTTAATCAATATTTAATACGGCAAGAATACTTGGATGTAAGTTTATGTCAATAAAACCATAACTTGTGAGATCGTCACGCAATCATGATGAAAAACATGCTAACATAAGACTATTATGGTCAGCATGCATCCTCGCCCATCACGTGCTCCTTCCCACACTGCACTGTTAGGGGTACGAACGCGGGAATCAAATTTTGGTCGGGGTTTCATTCTGACCATAATAATGTAAGGATGTATGTACATACTTGCATGTCACGAAAGTTCTCTTAACAATAAAACTCTTCGATCATAACTTAAATAATTTATTAATAACAAATGTCGTGATCAGGTATAAAGTCATGGTTGTTTGTCAAGCTGTGTTCAAATCTACGATAAGGTATGTCTATAGATAAATATAGAGATTCATATATGAATACTAATGAGGCGAAAAAATATTAGGCCAAGTTTTAGGAATTGTTCAAAGTAAACCCATTCTAAATTATCTTTTCAAATTTTCAAATCCTAAAAAGTAATTTGAAAAGACCATAAATATTTTTTCCAAGTTTCCCACAACGGTGCCAGACAAACAAGAGAAAACATGTACATGACGACGACATACATATCTACATGCAATAATTAGAATTTAATCGGTCATTGTACTTGTAGAACTAAGGTAAAATATTTACAGATTTGCTATTAATACTAATTAAAAGTAGTGTCGGAAAAATATTATTATACGCAGACTCTTATCGCGCAATTAAATTAGCATTTGCACAATAACTGATATAAAAAGTTATTAGGCTTCTTTATCTATTTACATAATACATTTATTCGCATTCACAGAAGAATGTATACCCTTGGTTTAATACCGAAATGCTATTTACCCACCGGGTATGAATAAATTAATCAAAAAACTTCTAAAGGTCACTTTAAAAATAGTTGAACTGGTGAAGAAAAATATAAAAAAAAATTGTAAAAATTATAGTCGTCAAAGCCGTTATAATTTTGCGAACATTAGGTCAATGGAAAGTTTGTCGTAGCGTAACACTTGAGGTTATCAATAGTCGCATCGTCCGCAATATCCACATTCTATATCGCACGCCGTATAGTCAGGATGGTCGTCTTCGTAGTCACTTTCACGATTAAAGTAGTCGGCGTAATCATTTTCGCCATCGTCGCTATCCGAGCCAAGGTCCAGTGATGCGTCCGAGTCAGAGTCTTCCTTTAATGTTAAAGCGAATGTGGGCTTGCTCTGTTATACGTACATATTGATTAGTGATTTGTAAATATTCCCGTGCATGTAAAGGTAAACCAAACTGACCCATTCGACCTGGACTAGTCGGGAGGATTTAGTCTTCAACTCATTCACTAAATCGGGTCGCAGGATAAGTCCGTTTCCACTGATGGATATTTTCTCCAGGCTTGGATTCCGTTGAACGAATTGTATCGCCAAATTTGTATCCCACTCCGTCATGCCCTATTAATTTATATGCATACATACACATTAGTAAACATAATGCAGATCAACATTTATGTTCGTACTGGCCAAAAAATCGATGACATTAAACGTTAAAATTAAGTTTTCTTTTCTGTGAGTATGGAAATAATTTAAAATAGGTGGAAAAATTGTATATACAAATCTAGTTACAAATCTAGTTCAGAATTAGTTTCTCACCCTTTCGTCCGTGAAAAGAGTCAAAGTTCGCAAAGACTGTGTGAAATTGAACTCAGTAATTCAGCTATGTTACCCCAGCCCTTAAGTGTAACGTGAGTCAAACCTGTGTGTAATTTACGAAAATATTTAATGTACAATTAAATTAAATTATGTAATCCGCCAAGCGTAAAAACTAGCGGCCCAAACCAATTAGGGACTGTCCATAAATTATGTAACACGAGAGAGGGGGGGGGGGCTTCAAGGTTCCTATTATATCGTTCCTACGTGACACATTTTAAAAGGAGGGAGGGAAGGTCTAGAAAGTCGAGATTTTTGCGTGACATAATTTATGGATCTCCCTTTATTTACCTTTAAGGCTTCCCAAGTCTACCGCAGCCCTTGCATTGAGTGCACCATCAGTAGGCTTGACAATGCTGGAGAGTTCTAATTTCTGCAATTTTAGCATTGAGATGCTCAATTTCTGTAGAAAATCTAAATTCAATTCTTTCCCTCCGCGATGGACGATGCTGAGGGTCACCAAGTTTTGAAATCTGTTAAACAACGACTGCTTCTCCATTTCACCTATGTTTGCATTTTGGACCGAATCCCACCAGAAATTCTCAATTCCGCGGAGCTTGAGATGCGTCAAGGAGACTGCAGTTCCTGTAGAATGAACCATCCAAGGCATCCCGCCATTCGATGATTGGTCGGATCAGCGCAAAATCCTTCAAATTTTGCATGTCTGCAAGAAACCCCCAGTTTTCCCCATCTCCAAAATGTTTTGCTCGAAGATGCAACTTTTTGAGTTTTGAACCCCTCTCCTGAATCACAGTGAGTAGCTTTGGCCCGCATTTCTTCACTACACAGAGGGACAACTCTTCAACAAGTGGCTGTTTTTTCATGAAACTTAGAAAATTGTCTATCTCAGCCCCTCCGTCGGTCAGGGACGTGACTAATTTCTTCAATAGGGGGAGACGGATGTTTTCAAACTGTGTAGTTCCCCACGGGCAAGTTTCTTTAAAGTCCAGAACGAGATCTTGGATCGATCCTGCGTTGGCGATTATCAAATTGACGATATTTTCATAACATTTGAAGTTATATCCAACTTTTCCTATCTCAAGTTTTTTTAGGTTTAGCGGCAGGGCGTAAAAGTACTTGATATTGTCATGAAAAATGGGACAGTCAAATTCATCCCGCTCTTTACTAACGATCTCCAGATTTCTAAGTTTGGTAAAGTATTCTTTCCCCGTTTGGGTGGCAAAATGATCCGCAAGGTTTAAGCATGTAGCAACTTCTCCGTCAATCTGTCAAAATGTACAGACAAACGAATACATAAATCATATTATAACTGAGGAACTGTTAAATTCAATTTGACTCGTCATACTTGCAGAGTGATAACTGAAGTATTGACAAAAATATAGTGAAGAATGGCAACCGTAACTTCCTTTGCTCTTGAGTTACCGATGAGATGAACGGTTTGAAAATTTTTAAGGAAATTTTGGTTTCCTTGAAGAAACTCCGGAATCTCTTTTGATACTACAAGATCCACCTCAATCACACTTAAGCCATGAAATGTTTTCATTGTCGTAGTCTCAGAAGGGGAAGAAGCAAGGTTTTCGTGTCCACTCTTATCTGCACAAGTAGTCATTCCAGTGCCACAGCCGGCATGACTTTCTTGCAAGTTTTTTTGACTTAAGCAGAGTTTAGCAATCTCCTTGAAATGTTTAGAGTTCCTCACCATCTCGTAAAGACTACGACAACTCGCACTGGCATCTTTAAGATCGGCCAAGTTCAAGTAGGGTGCAATTTTATTTGCAATCTAGAAATGTTACGAGTATTCGTAATAGTTAAAAGTGTAAAGAATTGTCACAAAAGATTGAGTGTATTAATTACCAAATCATTGCGAAAGACACGATCAAAGAGTAAGAGCTCTGCTTCCATTTTCTTTCCAAAATTTTTGCTGTCCTTCCGTTGCTGAGTTCCATCTGTCGATAAGGGATTTGTCACCAGATCCATGATGAAGTTTATTTCCAATTTGTTTTTTTTTCAACTGGAAACTATGAATGCAAAAAATTTTAGTGTATATAATATGATTTACAAATAACTTTATTGCACGATTGATGAAATGAGAAAAATTTACTCAAATTTTGGGGGTACAAAATGAGCCAAAAGTGCAAGTCTTTTTCGCATCGATTTCACCAAATTGCACATAAAAAATTACAAATTCAGTTTTGGGTGGGGGGATTAATATAGCATAGCTTTTTTGAATTATATTCAACCACACCCCCTTCAAAAATTGGGGAAGAAAATTGGGAAAAATGAGAAGGTCAATGTACACTCGGTACAGAAAGAAGTAGATACCAACTTGCATTTGACATTTGACTCCCCTCATGAGTATGAACATTTTGATGCATCAAGACTTTCAAAATTCGAAAATTGGCGGTTTTTCGACCTACATATAAATCGTTAAAAAAGTGACCTTAGCGGTCATTTTGCGGCTGACAACCTGATGCCAGATTTTTCTTCGTCAGAAGTGCCACATTTTCCGCTTTTGTTGTCCGCTGCGAAATGACCGCTACCATGACTTTTTTGGGGTCAAAGTTTCTGAGGGAGGGGCTTATACAGCAAGAGCCATAACAAACTCTGGCCACTAATGAGTACAGAGAGAGAGAAACAGAGTGAGAAAATGGATCGCGCATACGATCCTAACGCACGATGGTGGTGGATACCCACCGCCAACCACTTTTCTCACTCTGTCTCATCTTCTCCTGCGAAATATGGGAAATGATTTTGTGTTACATTTGGCCTGGTTTTTATCTGGGTGTATTTAATTAATACTCGATAGATGAGATATGCGCTAATAATAATTTGTAATGAGTACATTTTTAAGCACAAATATAGGATCATCACCCCTACCCGAAATGTGATACACCCAAATGTTAGGTTTTTTATGTAATATGAAATTACGAGTTTAATTACAAATTGTTTTTATGGAATTAGGACTTCTTCTTTCCGAAGACCGGACGGCAGCAGCAGATGACAACATAGTTTCCGTCGGCCTTTGTCTCACACGCATGCAAGTTGCATGCATTCCTCTCTCTCTCACTTTTCATGAAACTTTATCCCAGGTTGCACATAAGCTGTCAAATGGTACTGAACATGGTTTTGTTTATTCATCATAAATAAAAACGTGAATCAGACGTGGGCGAAGACAAGTACAGATATGTACATACATATGTAGGTATGGAGACTTCATAGGTACAGGCTGGCTTAAATGCCTTGCCACAATGGGTAATTTTTCAATGGGATAAGCCTGTAAATTTCTATAGATAAGTAGTAACCCAAGTTTTGTCTCTGAAATACACCATTTTAAGAACTATTCCATCAATTCTGATACTACATTTGAATAGTTTATACAAATCTCAATTTTAAATCGTCCTAGTCCTAAGTAATGGCGATGCATGAGCTTATTGAGATAATTGAGACATTATTGAGACATAAGACACCCTATATGTACATCTGTTAATTGACAATGAAAACATGGAGACAGACGTCTGAGGTTAAAACAACTCACATGTTACATGCACATCCCAGAAAGGATTCCTTCTATTTATATACGTATGTAGATATTCATTCAATGAAGTCAAGGGTACTTTCATTTCAACCCTTTATCACCGAAATAACCCAACGGTTTTTCTGCCTTTAACTCAATGTTCGACCGGACTACTGTTAAAAGCGGTTTTGTAAAGGGGAATTTTAATAAATATTTGTCTTTTAATATTTTTTCCAAAAATTAAACTACAATTTATATATTCGACGAAACGATATTTTTGGAATATATTTACGAATAAATCAATTTGAAACAAAAAACAACATTCTCAATTAACAATTTTGTTAAGTTACATACAACGCAATATCGGTGTCGAATAAAAACTTACAATGCGGCGTGGAATGAATATTTCATTTAGTGTTGAAGCCAAAAGGATGAAAATGATTTCCGGAGTAAGTCGCATATTTCTTAAAGCTTATTATTATTTTTGTAAAAAATAATTAGGAAATGTCCGACACAGGACGTGTACATAAGCATATGCGCATGAACGAATAAACATACAGGGTGGTTGAAATGTTACGTAACGCTCGATATTATGCCGTATAATATCGAGCCTCGAAGACATCGACAAATTTTGTGTATTAGTTATACATATACACCACAGGGAAAATTATCTGTACTTTTGGTTAATTTCACACTCTTAGGAGGGGAGGTGGCGTACTATCAACTCAGGGATCTCGATGCCCTTTGAATATGTTAAAGTGTCCCATGAATGAACAACAACCCTGAAGTGGTTTGAATCCATGGCCACATTTGCGTCCGCCACACCCACTAAAAGGTGCCCAAAAAGCGCTTTCACTTCAGCTTTCACTCACTCAAATCCACGCCAAAAAACCAATTTTGCTCGGATTTTGAAATTTCTTTCACCATTACATATATGTACTCCGGGATAGTTGTTTTCTTATATCCAACATCAAGCTCCCCCCAGAAATTCAGAAAAACCATACCTTTCGTCAATAAGCCCCTCCTCCCTACCATCTCATCTACCCAAATTTTCCCACCACGGATTTCAACCACCCTGTACATATGTACGTATGTATGCCTGAAATAAATAATACAGATTTATCTTAACACTGCAGTTACAGAGCCAAACTGTGGAATTGTCGTGGGACATCAAAGATTTCAAAACGCTGCAAGAACTTCCAGAGGAGTTGGAACAGGTCCGATTTCCGTTCGAAAATGGGGCCGAAATCGGAATGAAGTCCACGTGGGAATTTTCCTTTCGTAAAGGAACCAATGGCAAGATGGAATTTTGGCTGGAAATGTTGACGTATGAGGGGGAGGATGCCAACGTAGATGTCTTGGGGCGATGTGAAGCAAAGCAGTTGAAGAACATTAAGACTCCAGACGGCAGACCATTGTTTACGGACAGGGGATTGTTGAATGTACAATTGATGAAGGATATGGGAATCATTAATCAAGGGAATTTATGCATAGTACTTATGACGTGATTATCTACATGACTTAAAGGGTCGTGAATGTGATTAAGTTTTAGGTCTCATTACATTTCTTAAGTGTTAGGGGATCTAAAAACGGGTTTTATAATTTTATAGGCTAAAACCCGGTTCTCGATTTAACCGAAAAGCGGTTTTAAATTTGACCTGAAAACTGAATTTACTACTCTCGAAAACTCGAGATTTAGTGAAATAATAATTGGTTTGGCCCTACTAAATGGGTATTTACCCTTCCTTGTTTTTCATTTTGTTGTTCTTAAATATTCTTTTTCCAAATTGTGGACCAATTTGTACTATAAATACTTCAAATTTTACTAGAGTATATTTTCCAAAATTTCAGAAATTTTTGTGCAAACCCTATTTACACAAAAGCTGTTTAACTAAAAAAAACTGGAAAAATTGAAAACCAGTTTTACGAAAGTTTGATAGAATGGAAAACTCGATAGCCGGTTTTTCAAAACCTGAGTTTTTACGCTCCAGTAATTATCTATCTGCATACATACATTACATATCTCTAAAAATTAGATGTGCACATGAATTTTCAGAATCTGGGTTGAGTCGGTTGGACACTTTTTCTAATCTAACCGAATCCGAATATTTTGAGTGAAAACATTTGCATCCGAACTGAATCCAAATTTTTCGGTTGATAAAATATTCAACCGAATAGAATCTGAATGTTTTGATTAAAAGATATTATTCGAACCGAATCTTTCGGCTGATGAAATGTATATCCAAAGCGAACCGAATGATCTTGATTCGGTTCGGAAGGATAACTACTTTTATTCAATAGTCGGATAAGCAACTTTAAATTGCTACATTAAATATTCTGAAAAAAATTCAGATCTGCAACTGCACACCTATTATTCTGGTGGAACTCTGGGAAGTGCCAACTTGACGGATTTTGTCTTCCCAAATCCATACGCCCGCTCCGGCGCCCTTGATCCATCCAATCTGGCGATATGTGCCCACAATTTATACGATGGAGTGTTGAGTTTAAGGCTACATTTTACCGTCTACCTGAAGAACCTCGTAAATATGTTGGAGCCCATGGAGGTTTGTACATAAATTAAATACACAAGAAATAATTAGTAAGAAAATGGCGGCATTTTAAAATGAAATTGGCTAACCAAAATTAGATCCGTTAAAGGCCGCCTTGCTAGTAGCAAGTTGCTACATAATTTGCATATCATCTTTTTATATTTTAATTAAATTGTGCGTACATATATTTTTACATTAAGCGCTGTTGTGTACTGTGTGCAATTAAAGTCTGATACTTTGAAATTGTATGGTTTTAAGGGGTAAATTTAATGCACCACGTATTTAGCTGAAGGTTTCCACTTATTTTAGCTAATTCGCTGGTGTCTAAATACGTTGTGTATTAAATTCGACCCTTGTTTAAATTCACAATAACTTCAAACTAACCACTGCATACATATGTATTTAACTTTAAATATACTAAATATTTCGCGCTGTATTATTTATTAGTTATGAATTTTTTAATCTAATGGAACATGGTTTTAGGGCTCAAAATGTGGAACTAGAATGGAGGTAGATTCTGCCTGTCGCCTTAATCAGCAGAACTCAATGTTGGCCATGTTGCGTGACGGGATTGGCTCGGATGTGACGCTCTTATCGAAAGATAACCAACTCATCAATGCCCACAAGTGCATCCTGTCCAACAAAAGTTCCGTCTTTAAGACAAAGTTTTCCACCCAAATGATCGAGAAGGAGATCGAGCTCGTTGAAATGGTCGACATGGGGTCAGAAGCGTTGAATATTTTTCTAAAATTTTGCTACACCGGAGAAATTGAAGAGAATTGGGGGGATTTTTATGAGGACGTTATCTCCGCGGCGGATAAGGTATATATTGATGTCACTGTTTAGGGGTGAGTTGGGTCAAAAATTTTGAAAACCTAACCCGGCCGATCAGGCAAATTTCTGTACCCGAATCCCCACCCTACAAATCAGGCAATTGTCTGAACCCGATCGGCCCGAATCCGGGTGGGTCGGGTTTTAACCGACTGACCCGTGGCCCGACTCACCTCTACCGTATTTATTGTAAAATCTTATAAGCGTTCCGGTAAAACTACGGATATTAACATATTTTTGAAATATTATTGAAATTCTCAGCTTTAAAAAAATCCAAAGAAATTAGCAAACAAAAGTATTTAATTTTGTTATTTTTAGTATGACGTCCCTCTCCTGTTGAATCTCTGTGACGAAAAGCTCTTCACGCTGTGCACGAAGGAAAATTGCTTGGACCTCGTCAAGGTGGCCAATCAATATAAACTTGGCAAGGCGAAGGAACGAATAAAACAATTCATTGTGCGGTAAATAAATTCGAGTTATCGTTTTTTTACATTAAAATTAATTTGATAATAAATGTAAGCTACCTTTTTTTACTTAATTGTAGGAATATAGATGAATTCGTCGACAAATTGTTGGAGATTTAGTGACATGGATGTGAGCCTCTCAATGTAGTCCGCTAAGTAAATATGAACCACTAAGTTTATACATAAGTCATCATAAGTGTAGAATTGAAATTACAATTAAAATTGATAAATGTATCATGATATGATTTCGAGAAAAATTGTCCTTTAAATGAGAATATGTATATTTACATACATATGTATGATGCGATTTTTTTTCAATTGTTTTTGCTTGATGAACTGAATTCTGTATTACTCTAATCTTATAGGTATGTAGGTAAATGTATACATATATTTGTATTTATCAGCATATCAAGTTGGTTTTTGCATTTGCAAATTCATCATATTGCAATAATAAATTTAAACATGAATAATTTTTTGTTGTTCGGATCGGATCGAATAAACGATAATACAAATAATGGTACAACTAATTTCCAATACAATTAGTATCTTTACATATGCGCAGCAATCGTGGTCTCTGCAGCATTTATTCATATTCGTATGTTAATACGCAGTTAAACAAATTATCACCACAAACCACAACTAATTAGCATAGTTTCCAGTATTTATTAATATTTTTTTATAACACATTAATGAATTATGGTCCTATAAAGGTTTTATTTTATAGATCTGCTGAGAATTAGTTTATCTTCATTTTGCATGCAACTTGCAATGACTTGCATGATGCAAGCATGAATTTTGCATTCCCAAGGGAATTTGAGACAAGGTTTGGTGCGAGTTTTCATATCATATGTTCTCTTCATAGACATGTATACATACATACATACTCTTGTAAACTTTGCAGTGCACATTTTTTTATTCCAAACCGAAATTTAACTGCTTTCATTTAAAATACTCAGGTAATTATTTTTTACACGTCGTTGTTCGTCTAAATTAATCTTCTGGATTTTATAAATTATAAATTTCTAGATTTATTCACCATGTCCAAGCAAGTCTGCCTGCTTTGTTTACAAATTTTCGAAAACGACGAAAAATTCCGGAAAACATTCCAAATCGGTCCTCTCTGCAAGCTGTTAACACTATGTCATCACAATTACAAATCTTCTCATCCTGAATTTGAAAACAACGAAATATGCGAATTTTGCGATGATTGTTATCCTCTCTTTGGCACAATGGAAGAAATTAGGAGGCAAATTTCACTCCTGGAGCAAGAAATTGGGTCGAAAATGAAGACAATTAAGGCCACAATTTTGCACGCTCCTTCCTCCTCCCACTTACAAAATGATGGAAAGGATAAAATTCTACAAATTCGTGACATGCTTCTCCGTGTGGCAGGTTGGACGTATTTTTTAAAACTCGATTTATTCACAGTTACTTACGTACACCTAATTAAACTAATTATCCTGACAATTAGGAGAGAATACGGGCAATTCTGGATCAGACGAAGAGAAAGTTCAAGTCAAAGTAGAGGACGAGGAAGGAGGTGATGAAGACGTTGACCTTGACCCTCTCGCAGATGTGGTCGACCAATTCTTGGACGATGACTACCTCGACTACTCTAGAACAAGTGTCGAAGAAGAAGATTTATTGAACGAGGTGGCAGACGATGCCGCCTTCTGTATTATTCCCTCCTCACAAAATAAACCGACAAATATTGAAAAATCAGGGTATGAAAATCATAAGCAAATTCGTGTCATAAGGTTGCACACAAGTTTTTACACCATTAAAGTCTTAAATGGACTAATTACCCAATTAAATTAGTATGTTTCTATGTAGCCCTAGGAAACGCAAGAAAGAAGAACCTCCCACTAGTTCGAAACAGATTAAACTGGAACCACTCAGCCCGACACAGTCGCCCCCACGCCGTTCATCCAGAAAGCAAGCCTTCACACCCAAAAATGTTCCACCGGTGGATATAGTTTCTAAGACAAAATCAGCGTCAAAGGAATCTACACGTGTCGACGACTACACTCTAAAAATTGAGCATACCGACTACGTTGGAAACTCTGACGAAAAAATCGTCCCCAAAGATGCAACCTCCCACAAATGCACCACCTGCGCCACATCTTACACCACAGAATTTGCCCTTAACAATCATATCTCACAGTGTCACAAGAGAACCTGCGTCGCGCCGTCCTGCACCGCCACGTTTCGCTCCAAGTTTTCCTTGTTCGCCCACTTGAAGACTTCTCATAAAGGCTTTTGCCCTTATCGGTGTTTACTATGCGGGAAAAAGTTTGGTCTCCGCGAAAACGCGCTTGCCGTCCACATGGTGATGCGACACGAAAACGGGGAAAAGAAATTGTCCTGCGTCAAATGCGGGAAGAAATTCTGCCTCGAGCAAAACTTGGTGAGACATTTGAAACTCCATGACGTCGAGGGGACGAAACCGCTGGTTTGTGACGTGTGCGACGACCGATTTGAAAACGAAGACGTTTTACAGAAACATTTAAAAACGTTGTCACATGGGGCAAAGCCGTTCAAGTGTGATACTTGTAGGAAGGGGTTCAACAGTAGGGTGGGATTGGAAAGGTAATACATAAATATGTAAATACTGGTGCCCTCTTAGAAATCAGTGGCAAAGATTTACGTACCGGTATAATTTTAATGCCAAATTAGCAAAAATACGAAATCAGTACCTACGTGACTATAACAGATTTTTCAGAGTGTGACTTATGCAGCTTTTTGCATGTCTAATAAATTTGAAAATTGTGTAAACTTCGCAAAATCTAATACACTTTTCGTCCCTCTCTTTCAGCCACGACCGAACCCACAAGAAGGAAAAAACGGAGAAATGTGACCTCTGTGAGGCCGCCTTCGCGCACAAGATCTCCCTGCAGCGCCACATGACCCGCGCCCACTCAGGCAGCCATCCCACCCATATTTGCAACCTGTGTAGTAAAGCATTCCACCTTCCAGTAGATCTTCGACACCACTTGGATCGTCACAGGGGCAGATATCAAGTCAAATGTGACACTTGTCAGGAAACATTTGGGGATCAGAGCACCTTACTCTCCCATCTTATCAAGGTGCACGGTAATGACCCGTATGTGTGCCCGTATGAATGGTAAGGATTTAATTGGAAGGAAATTAATTTCTTATTAATGTGATGATGACTACAATTTTATTTTTTGCGAAGCGGTGCTACTTTTATGACGCTGTCAGGATATAAGACACACAAGAAGGTTCATGAAGGAGTTAAAAGCCACCAATGCGATGTAAGGGTACAGATTAGTAATTATATATTTTTTAAAAATGAAATCCGGCGTAAGTTTTCTTAGAAATATGAAATTTCCAAAAAGCCTTAAGTGTAGTTCCTTTTATTTGAAATATGACGCTTCTTGGAAATTTCATATTCATTTTTCTAAAAAGTGTCAGATTTAAAAGTTTAAAGAAGTGTCACATTTGAAATATGACTTGGACTGGATTTTAATTTTTGAGCTTTGTTAACATGCGAGATTCAGCGTGAATTTACTTCAAATTTGCAAAGCCCAGAAATTTAGTTTCTTAATTTCGAAATTTTCTTTATTTTAGACTTGTGGCGCCTGTTTCATGCAGATGAACCAACTTACGAATCACGTCCGGTCTCACACCGGCGAGCGACCATTCCCCTGCCCCCATTGCGAACAAGCCTTCAAGACCAAGAACAATTTGAGCACGCACGTCAAGGTTATCCATACTCCGGGCTATGTCCCCTCCACCCCACACAAATGCCCCCACTGCGATAAAGCATTCCAATCGCCCGTCTTTTTGGAGGGTCACATTCGCCAAGCACACACGGGGGAGCGCCCCTTTACCTGCGACCAGTGCGCAAAAGGGTTCGCGGTCAAGTCGGCGCTGACTCTGCATTTGAAAACGGCCCATGGCGTCGTTCCGGAAAAGAAAGATAGGTTGCCAAGATCGAAAAAGGATGCGTTTCATCATGTAGAAGAAGACAATGACTAAAGTAGAATTTGTAACTTATATTGTTAAATTTTAATTTGTAAACTCAATTGTTACCAGTATAAATACTATATACAGATAAATACAGATAAATACAGATAAATACTATATAATCAAAGTTTGCTGTAATAAGTAAAGATTGCACAATATTGCACATAAAATTGTAAGAGCCAGTCCGTCAAAATATTTACAAGCACATGTGTAACTGACGAAACTAAAAATAAAGCCAAAATATGTGTTAAACACCGAGGACATTATTTGTGTAAAAAATGATAATTTTAAATTATCATTTAAAGGATTTATTTAATTCACCAATGTATTTAATTTCGAGTTTTACATGAATATTTTGACGAAGACTCGTCTTTCTTCATGCAAATTATTGCAAAACTGCAGAGTATTGGGATTAACGAAAGTGGGATTAATGATTATGATTAGGGATTGATTCTAAAAAATTCGGGATTGAGGATTGAGATTAGGGATTAAATTAACTCGGGATTAAAATTAATTTGGGATTAAATCTCTCGAGGCAATCAATCGGATTAGGGATTAGGATTAATTTAGTCCAATTTTAATCCCGGATTGGGATTAAAATCGTATTTATCGTCGATCACATTTATACCTAATTAATGTTTCAAATGTTTTAATTAATTTTTTTGATAAGTCCTAACAGTATGATTGAATGTATGAATCCTACTGTAACATAATGACTGTATAAATAATGCCCTAAAGTACGATTTGTCGCTTAAGTGACAAGTCTCCATTTGATTAACATTGAAGTGTGAGTGAGTGGGCACTCCCACTGGCCACTCTAGGTTATTAATATACAGCCATAAGAATATGTACTATACACATTAACAACATAAAGTAAGCTTACTTATTAAGTCATCACTGAACCAAAATCAACAGATAAAGTTTTATCAAATGTTTTTAAATACATGAGCTATTTGTTTTATAATATCGAATTGTTGTTTATGAAATACAATGATGGAATTGGCGTAAATACATAGTTGATTTAGGTATGGGAAACATATTTCTCATTGAAACAAAAGGGCAATTGATAAGGTCTCCGAGAATTTTCAGCAGGTGGAGCTGTTTTAATCCCATTTAAATCCCATCTTGGATTAAAATTAATCAATGGCCTCCGGGATTAGGATTGAGGATTAATAATTTTTTCCAAACTTCCTTGGATTAAGGATTAGGGATTAAAAGTCAAAAATCACGGATTGAGGATTGGGATTAAGGATTAATTAATCCCCAATCCAAATCTCAATCCTCAATCCATAATCCCGGATTAACCAGACTCTGCAAAACTGGCGATGAGACGAGTTTTTCATGAAACTTTACTTTGTTGCGTGGAGTGCTTCATTTTTGAGACGATTTTCTGGCACGAGTTTGAGTTCATTCGACAACTTTGTAAATGCAAAATGGAAATAAAATTTGCAGCTGCATTTTCGGTGCGAATTTTTCACCAGATCTTCCAATTTACTAAGGAGCAATTAACTTGTCTTCTCAAGGATAAACTCTTATTTGTCATAATCCTATAATTTGCAAGGGATTAAAGGTGGAATGATTAAATTGTGTATATTGAATATTTAGCTTTAAACTTTGTCAAACTGCTAAGATTATTTTTTCTTTGAAATATGAAATATTCATTCAATACTAATGCCAATTATTTAATCTCGTCTCTCATTTTTTACTTATTTCTAGATTTATTCATGAAACATGTCGAACGAGCAGGTCTGCCTCTTGTGTTTACAAGTTATCGACGACACGGGAGAGAAACACCCCCAAAAAATCAATATCGAAACCATCTGTAAATTAATAACAACGTGTCATCAAAATTACATTTTTTCTCAACATGGATTTGATGAGGACGAAACGTGCGATCTTTGTGCCGATTGCTATCATCTGATAAGCACAATGGAAGAAATTAGGATGCAAATTTCACTCCTGGAGGAAGAAATTGGGTCAAAAATGAAGCAAATTCAGGCCACGATTCTGCACACTTCCTCCTCCTCCCAAATACGAAATAATGGAAAGGAGAAAATTATGCAAATTCGTGACATGTTTCTCCGCGTGGCAGGTGGGACGTTTTTAAAATATAATTAATCACTTTAACCATTGACTGACTAATTTACATAATGATATCTAGGTGAAAACGAGCAGCCTGATGACAATGCCGAGGATCAGGTCAAGTTGGAACATATTTTTCCAGGTTTGAATTTTCCAATATTTTAGTATTTTCAAAATTCAATTGATTTGCCGTTATTCAATTATTTCTTACAACTTATTAATACAACTATGTAACTACCGTGTCAATTAGGAGAGAATACGGAAAATTTTGTATCAGACGAAGACGAGGTTCAAGTCAAGGTGGAGGAGTTACAAAGAAACGATAATAGCGTTGACCTTGACCCTCTCGCCGATTTGGGCGAGCAATTCTTTGATAATGATGACCTCGATTCCATCTGCGAACCAAGCATTGTAAAGGAAGAAGAAGAATTAATTATCAACGACGAAGACGAAGAAACTGCTTTTTGCATTGTTCCTTTTCCTCAAACGAACTCGACAAATCCTAAAGGAAATCCCAAACGGTATGTACGAAAATTAAAAATATTCGAGTATTTGCAGTCATGTCATAATTTGCAACAAGTTAGCTTATTTTTAATCAAAATGCACATTTGCATAAGAAATATTATGGAAATGGACTACCAAGTAATTGTAGATTTGCATATTTCTAGCACTTCTAAACGCAAAAGAGAATATTCTTCTCCACCAAAAACAAGAACGAAACAGAGTAAAGTGCAGCTCGATGGAGTGCCCACCCCTGAAGCGCCAACGCCACGATTGTCACTGCGCACCAAAAAAAGAAAAGTTCCACCCACACATGGCGAAAATCTTATTTCTTCCCCCAAAAAGACCCATCCTATTAAAACCTCTAATTTTAACTCAGAATCATCAGGGGAAGACGATTCACCTGACAACGATGATACGGATTGGTCTCGTAAAGTTCGCCATGTCGACTCCATCGCGACTTCTGACGCCATTCGTCCCCACAAATGCACCAAGTGTAAAAAATCTTTCCTCATAGAACAAGCCCTCACTCGCCATACCGCGAAGTTCCACGGTGTCCCCTGCCTCGTACCGTTATGCACCGCCAAGTTTCACTCCTTCCGAATGAGGGACGCCCACTTGAAATCTGACCACGATGGTCTTGTACCTTATCAATGTCGGATTTGCAAGACCAAGTTCAAATACCAAGGCGGCCTTTCTATGCACATGGTGATGCGGCACGAAAAAGGAGAAAAGAAATTGTCCTGCGTCAAATGCGAGAAGAAATTCTGTCTCGAGGACAACTTGGCGAGACATTTGAAACTACATGAAGTCGAGGGGACAAAACCTGTAGTTTGTGACATGTGCGACGACCGATTTGAAAATGAGGAACGTCTTAAGAAACACATGGAATTGAGAAGTCATACCCGACCATTTGAGTGTCCTCAATGTCCGCAGCGGTGCAAGAGTAGAACTGAACTGGACAGGTGATTATATTAACTCTATGAAAACTGTAGAGTAAATGGAGAAACTACGCCACTGTCAATCTTTAATTCTCCGTCGGCATAATTAAAATTCTTCTGGCTGTATACTCAAAATAAGTTAGCGTGGAAGTTGTCCAAATAAATTTTACTAATCATCATACGATTCGAATCCTTATGATGATTAGTTAAATGATTCCACTGGAATCATTCCAACCAATAACATGAATCGATGCGTGTTATTAACAGGCATCATTATTCAATAACCAAACTAATTGGACACCTTCCACGCCGACTTGAAGAATTTTGAAGACTGTGGCATAGTTTCTCAATTTTCTCCAAAATTTCAAACCTATATGGTTGAAGAGTACATAGCAATCACGTAGTTCTTACTTCATCTCATTTGAATTTTTATTAAGCTGCAAGGCTTATTTTCCTTCGGTTGGATTTTCATTAAATTCACAAATCGTTCATGCAAATCGATCTCTCAATTCGTCTAAGCCCGATATCCGTGTTTTTGGGAAACAGCATTAAAAAATCCTGTCTCTCAAAAACCACGAATTTTTTTTTCATTGTTTTTCCTCAAAAATGTGGTCAAGTTTTCCAAAGGAAGCATTTTAAGGTGGGGTATCCGGCTTTCGGGTGAAAATTCTTGGCGATTCATGACCAGAAATCCCACAACATCTCACTTTATTCCCTTCACTATTTCAGACACTTGAGGACCCACACAAAGGAAAAAGCTGACAAATGTCCTCACTGTGACCACGTTGCTGGCGGCATATACACCCTGCAGCGCCACATCGCAATCGTCCACACTGCCGGACCTCCCTCACATACTTGCCACATTTGTGGGAAAGGGTTTTATCTTCTCGTCGATCTTAAGAGCCACATGATTCGTCACGATGAAACGCTTAGAAAGAAATGTGACACTTGTGACGAAACATTTTCAGGATTGAGCAGTTTACACTCGCACCGTATCAAGGTGCATGGCCAGGCTCCGCTCGTTTGTGAGGAATGGTAACTAATTAATTTTTCCAGAAATTAAATTTTGGGTGGATCTGTAGTAACTTGTTTTGTAAATTTTGAAAAGCGGAGCTACGTTTACAGCGCTGAGAGGATTTAGACAGCACAAGAAAGTCCACGTGGATGGAAAAAGACATCAATGCCAGGTGAAAATCGGAAATAATATTTTTGGAAGGCGAAAAAGCATATTTTTATCGCTTCGGGATCGCGAGAGAAAATAAATAGTTTTATTATGAATTTCTGGAAGTCATTTTAATTTCCACAATTTTATTTACCTTTAGACATGTGGGGCTTGTTTTCTCAAACCGGTGGGTCTTAGAGAGCATATGAAAATTCACGTGGACGAGCGACCATTCCCCTGCGCCCACTGCGACAGGGCCTTCAAATCGAGGACGAACATGATGAAGCATGTACTGGCTATCCACACTCCCGGCTACGTCGTCCCCACCCCGTACAAATGTCCCCACTGCGACAAAGCGTGTCGATCCCCTTTCATCCTGAAATGTCACATTCGCCAAGCGCACACGGGAGAGCGCCCCTTCACCTGCGACCAGTGCGAAAAAGCGTTCGCAGTCAAGTCGGCGCTGACTCTGCATTTGAAAACGGCCCATGGCGTCGTTCCGGAGAAGAAAGACAGGATGCCAAGATCAAAAAAGGAGGCGTTTCGTGTAGAAGATGACAATGATTAAGTTAGAATTTGTAATTTTATACTGCTAAATTTCAGTTTTTATCAGTACATAGAATTTGTAATTTATATTGTAATACAACTTTTGTATTGTCCTTAAGGTAAAAAGCACATATTTACGCATTGTCGTAGAATTAATGGTATCATTAAGGTCTGCTGAAGCTATATTGCAAATTATTAATTTGCAATTAAATTAATCACATGTGTAACTTATGAAGATACGAATATTTACATCGAAAATATTTTACTGACATTAAAATCCGTGATTACTTATGAAAAAGAGATAATTTTAAAGGATTTATTTAATTCACTAATTTAATTTCGAGTTTTACATCAATAGATAAAAAACTCATCTTTTTTCATGCAAAACTGGTCTAATGATTTTTCATGAAACTTTACTTTGTTTCGTGGAGTGCTTCATTTTTGAGGCGATTTTCTGGCACGAGTTTGAGTTCATCTGACAACTTTGCAAAATTTGCAGCAAGCTGACTTTTCGGTGCCAGATCTTCCAATTGAACTAAGAAACAATTATCTTGTCTTATCAAGGATAAGCTCCTATTTCTCATAATTCTATAATTTGGACGGTGTTAATCAGATACAAGGTGAAATGATTAAATTGCGTACATATTTATTTATCCAATATTCTGCTAAAATTATTATTTTTTTCCCAATTATTTAATCTCATCGTACATTTTCATTTATTTCTAGACTCATTCATTAAACATGACGAACAGGGAGGTCTGCCTCCTGTGTTTACAAGTTATCGACGACACGGGAGAGAAACACGCACAAAAAATCAGGATAGAAACCATCTATAAATTAATAACAACGTGTCATCAAAGTTACAAATTTTCTCAGCACGAGTTTGACGAGGACGAAGTGTGTGACTTTTGTGCCGATTGTTATCCTCGGATAAGCACAATGGAAGAAATTAGAAGGAAAATCTCACTCCTGGAGCAGGAAATTGGATCGAAAATGAAGCAAATTCAGACAATCATTGGTGAAAGTTCCTCCTCCTCCCACTTACATAATAAAGAGAAGAAGAAAATTCTACAAATTCGTGACATTCTTCTCCGTGTGACAGGTGGAACGTTTTTAAAATAAAATTGACCAAACACCTATTTATTTAAGAATTATTTTTGATTTCAAGTAGTTGAAAATGAGCAACGGGACGACAATTTTGTTGAGGCCCAAGTCAAGTTGGGCCACATTTTTCCAGGTTAGCATTTTTCAATATTTTCGAAATTCAATTCATTATACATTATTATTCAATTATTACTTTGAAACATCCGTGTCAATGCGGAAAATTTTGTATCAGACGAGCAAGAGGTTCACGTCAAGGAGGAGGAGTTACAAAGAAACCATTACAGCGTTGACCTTGACCCTCTCGCAGACCAATTCTTTGATGATGACATTAATTCCTGCTCTGAGCCAAGCATTGTAAAATCGGAGGAAGAAGACTTCATCAACGATGGAGATGAAGATGAAGAAACTGCCTTTTGCATTATTCCACTTCCTCAAACCAACTCGACAAAACGGTACGAGAATCAAAAATATTTACTTACATGCATATTTGATCGATGTATATAACTTCTTTAATTTAGAAAAATGCAGATTTACCTAAGAAATATTATTGATACGGCCGGAAATAATTATAGATTTTTATATTTCTAGCACTCCTAAACGCAAACGAGAAGATTCTTCTCTTCTTCGAAAAGCAATTACGAAAAAGAATAAGATACAGCCCGATAGAGCCCCCACCCCTGAGGCTTCTACGCCACGATTCTCACCCCGCATTAGGAACCGAATAGCTTCACCCACACGTGGTAAAAGTCTTATGTCTTCCCCCAAAAATATTCATCCTGTTAAAACCTCTAACTCAAACTCAGAATCATCAGACGAAGACGATACAACACGTGACAGCGATGATCCAAATTGGTCTCGTAAAATTGCCCCCATCGCGACTTGTGATGCCATTCGCCCCTACAAATGCACCAAGTGTAACAAATCTTTCCTCGTGGAACATGCCCTTACGGGCCATACCGCGCGGTCGCACGGTGTACCCTGCCTCGTACCGTTATGCACCGCCAAGTTTCGCTCCATGCGAACGAGGGACGCCCACTTGAAAACTGACCACGATGGTCTTGTACCTAATCAATGTCGGATTTGTAAAAACAAGTTCAGTTGGCAAGGCGGCCTTGCTATGCACATGGTGATGCGGCACGAAAAAGGAGAAAAGAAATTGTCCTGCGTTAAGTGCGAGAAGAAATTCTGCCTAGAGGAGAATTTGGCGAGACATTTGAAACTGCATGATGTCGAGGGGACAAAACCCGTAGTTTGTGAGGTGTGCGATGACCGATTTGAGGACGAGGAGCGCCTTAAGAAACACATGGAACTGAGAAGTCATTCCAGGCCGTTGGAGTGTACTCAATGTCCGCATCGGTGCAAAAGTAATACGGAGCTTGCAAGGTGATACATACTTACTCTATTTCAGGTTCGAAATTTTAGAGAAAATTGTGAATTCTGAGAAACTCGACGGTTGAGTATAGTCAGAAGAATTTTAATTAGGCTGACAGTTGCGTAATTTCTCAGAATTCTCAATTTCAGTAAAGTTTCAAACTGCGTGGATGAAGAGTATGTAAATACATAGCTTTTACTGCATCGAATTTAAACTTTTAGATCGCTACAAACCCTATTTTTCCTTAGATCTAAATGTGCCACATATTAAAGACATGCAAATCAATTCGCACAAGTATCTATTTAATCTGAGATTAGTAATCTCACTTTATTCCCTTTCAGACACTTGAGGACCCACACAAGGGAAAAAGCTGACAAATGTCCCCACTGTGACCACGTTGCTGGCGGCATATACACGCTGCAGCGTCACATCGCAATCGTCCATACTGCCGGACCTCCCTCGCATACTTGCCACATTTGTGGGAAAGGGTTTTATCTTCTCGTCGATCTTAAGAGCCACATGATTTGTCACGACGAGACGCTTAGAAAGAAATGTGACACGTGTGGCGAAACATTTTCAGGATTGAGCAGCTTACACTCTCACCGTATCAAGGTGCATGGCCAGGCTCCGCTCGTTTGTGAGGAATGGTAACTAATTAATTTTTCCAAAAATAAATTTTGTGTGGATCTGTAATTTGTTTTGTATTTTTTTGAATTTTCAAAAGCGGAGCTACTTTTACAGCACTGAGAGGATTTAGACAACACAAGAAAATCCACGTGGATGGAAAAAGGCATCAATGCCAGGTGAAAGTTCGAAATAATATTTTAGGAGGACGAAAAAGCATAGTTTTAACGTTTCGGGACCTTGAGAGATAATATAGTTAAATACATTGAGAATTTCTGGAAGCCATTTAAATTTACAAAACTTTGTCCACCTTTAGACTTGTGGGGCCTGTTTTCTCAAACCAGATGGTCTTAAGACTCACATGAGAAGTCACACGGTCGAGCGACCATTCCCCTGCCCCCACTGCGATAGGGCCTTCAAGTCGGGGGATAACATGAATAAGCATGTACTGGCTATCCACACTCCCGGCTACGTCGTCCCCACCCCGTACAAATGTCCCCACTGCGACAAAGCGTGTCGATCCCCTTTCATCCTGAAATGTCACATTCGCCAAGCGCACACGGGAGAGCGCCCCTTCACCTGCGACCAGTGCGCAAAAGGCTTCGCGGTTAAGTCGGCGCTAACCCTGCATTTGAAAACGGCCCATGGCGTCGTTCCGGAGAAGACAGACAGGTTGCCAAGGTCGAAGAAGGATGCGTTTCATCATATAGAAGAAGACAATGAATAAGTTAGAATTTGTAATTTTTACTGTTATTGTTAAACTTTAATTTGTATTTTCCTTAAGCTAAATAACAAATTGGCATTGTCATTTAGATAATGGTATCTACTCATTATTAAGGTCTGTTGAAAGCATATTGTAAATTATTAATTTGCAATTAAAATAAATTTATTTGAAATTACATTGTCATGCCAGCGCTATTTAGATACATATGTGCAAGCACATTACGTAATTTCTGATGAAGCTAAACAGGAATATTTATTTGCTTGGAAAATATTTTATTGACATTAAAATCTATGATTATTTGTGAAAAATAGATAATTTTAAATGATTTATTTTATTTGAAGAATTTATTTAATTCACAAATTTATCTAGCTTCGAGTTTTGCATGAAAAGATGTGTTCAAGGATGAGACGAGGTTTCATTTCTCATGAAACTTTCGTTGAGCAGCTTCTTGTTTGAGACTTGCATTCTCTTTGTTGGCACGAGTTTGAGTTCATCTGCTCATCTGAAAACTTTGTAAATAAAAACAAAACTTTGATCTTGCATGCAGCTGCATTTTCATCAGATTTTTATATTCAAATTTAGCTAAAAAAACAACTAAATTTGTTTCACCTTAAAGCGTAATGTAATCTCTATAATCCTTTACACGGTATTAGGTTCTTGTTCAAATTTCAAATGATAAATTATGTAAAAAAAAGTTCAAAATTTATCAGTGTGCTAAAATTTGAAATTCTTGTTTCAAAATTTCAAAATTGCTTCAAAATTTTGAATACTAATTTCAGTAATTTCAATTATTTAAGCGCGTCGTATTTTTTTATATAGATTCATTCGACATGTCGAACCAGCACGTCTGCCTCCTGTGTTTACAAGATATCGACGACACGGGAGCAAATACCCCGCAAAAAATCAGAATCGAGACCCTCTGCAAATTAATAACAACGTGTCGTCAAAATTACAAATTTTCTCAGGATGAATTTGACGAGAACGATACGTGTGACTTTTGCGCCGATTGTTATCCTCTGATAAGCACAATGGAAGAAATTAGGGAGCAAATTTCACTCCTGGAGAAAGAAATTGTGTCAAAAATGAAGAACACTCAGGCCACAATTTTGCACGATTCCTCCTCCTCCCACGTACAAAATAAGGAGAAGAAGAAAATCCTACAAATTTGTGACTTATTTCTCAGCGTGAAAGGTTTGGTCTTTTTATTCTTTTTGAAAATTAAATTTACTACTAATTAAATTTACTAAATCTTATCCACATTAGAAAATTCTTTACCAGCCAAGAATGAGGTTCAAGTGAAAATGGAGGAAGATCGGGATGATGACGTTGACATTATCATCGGTAATAGCGACCAATTTTTGGACCATGACCTCGATTCCTGCCTCAAAACAAGCGACGAACACGAAGAGGAGGATGGCGACAGCTTCTGTATTAGTCCCTGTCCCGATAATCAATCGCCAATCAGCCATGAAAAGTCCCGGTATGACAATCATCATAATCAAATATTTGAGTAAATTCGTGTAATAAGGTTGCAGCCCAATTTTGCAAATCTACACAAATTGCTTAATAATTTATCTAAACTAATTATTAACGAATTTGTCAACTAACCTTACGTTGCATATTTCTAGGACCACAAAACGCAAAAGAAAAGATTCTCCTTCTCCACCAAAAACAATTTCGAAACGGAATAAACCTCAACCCGACAAACTGGAAGCGTTGACACCACTATCCTCACCCCGCATTAATAAACGAACCATCAAAAAACCACCCACACGTGTCAAAAGTCAATTCTCTTCCGCAAAAAAGACCACAACATGCCATTCAACGTCAAACTCGGAATCATCATCAGAAGAGGACGACGATACAAAATCTACTCCTGACAACGATAAGGATTACACTGCGCAAGTCGACGCCATCGCGACTTCTGACGCCAACCTCCGCCCCCACAAATGTTCCTCCTGTTCCAAATCTTACAAAAGCAAAAATGCTCTTTCTCGCCATACCGCGCGTAGCCACGGTGTCCCCTGCCTCGCGCCGCTATGCACCGTTACGTTTGACTCCGTCACCGCGAGGGACGCCCATTTGAAATCTGACCACGAAGGTCTTGCACCTTATCAATGTCGAATTTGCAAGAACAAGTTCCGCTATCAACGCGACCTCGGTGCGCACATGGTGATGCGACACGAAACCGGGGAGAAGAAATTGTTCTGCGTCAAATGCGAGAAGAAATTCTGCCTCGAGGAAAACTTGGCGAGACATTTGAAACTGCATGACGTCGAAGAGATCAAACCGCTCGTTTGTGACGTGTGCGATGACCGATTTGAGGACGAGGAGCGTCTTAAGAAACATATGACAATGATAACTCATGCAAAGCCGTTCGAGTGTCCTCAATGCCCGCAGAGGTGCACGCGCAGGACGGGGCTGGAAAGGTAGATAAACAATTATATCCGGGTATTTGTATTTTTTAGATCGAGGCGGCGAGGCTTATAGCTGTATCCATAGTCCGTGATTTGTTCTTGATTTCGTCATGATTTGATGGTTTCTCGCATCCATACTCCATAACTTTCCAAAAATTATTTATTTCCGATTTTCTGATTGGTCGATATTTTAATTGTTATGGTGATTAACATGCTGAAATTATGGACCCGTGAAAGCATCACCAAATCATGAACAAATCAATCGGACTATGGATACAGCTTATCTATCCGTCATGAATTTAGATTTTATGCAAATAATATGCATTAAATGCATACATCGAATTAATTTCAACTATATGCAGCATATTGTTGAAATCTATCTCTTAATTCGTTTAACCCCAAAGCCCCGTGTTTTCGAGAAATATAATTTTTGTTCTTTTTTGCCTCAAAAGAATGTGGTCTAAATTTTTTGTAGGAATTTTTTTAGAGGGAGATCGTGCTATCCCTGCTCAAATTCATGCCGATTTATGACGGGTTAATTTGTATGACCGGAAATCGTATAAACGTCTAATCTAACTTTATTTCCATCACTATTCCAGACACTTGAAGACACACAATAATAAAGAAAAAACTGAGAAATGTCCTCACTGTGACCACACCGTGGTCGACAAGGACACTATGCAGCGCCACATCGCACGCGCCCATCCTTCCGGACCTCCCACTCATACTTGCCACCTTTGTGGGAAAGGGTTTTAAACTCCTGTTCACCTCAGGATGCACCTTGCCCGTCATGAAGGCAAGTTGGAAAGGAAATGCGACACTTGTGCGGAAACATTTTCAGGATTGAGCAGCTTACAATCTCACCTTATCAAGGTGCATGGCAAGGATCCGCTAATTTGTGAGAAATGGTATTTGACTACATACATATGTATCATTTTTCCTGGCAATAAATCTTGTACAGATGATACATACATACGTACTAATTTTATTGTTTTCATTTATGCAAAAGTGGAGCTACTTTTAAAACCCTGGGAGGATTTCAACTTCACCAGAAGGTCCACGCGGGTCAAAAAAGACACAAATGCGAGGTGAAAATTTGGAATAATATTTTTTGAAAGATGAAATAACAAAAACGTCTGGTATTAATATTCTTAATGTTATGTGCCATTTTCATTTCCTGAAATAATTTCTGGAAATTATGAAATATTTATGTAAGAAATGCAAAAGTTATTTCATTCCCAAAATTTTCTTTATTTTTGTGCAGATTTGCGAGGCCTGTTTTATGGGTAAGGGGACCCTTAACATTCACATGAGGAGTCACACCGACGAGCGACCATTCCCCTGCCCCCACTGCGACAAGGCCTTCAAGAGGAGGCTGAATTTGAACTACCATGTAAACGCTATCCACACTCCAGGCTACGTCGTCGCCACCCCGCACAAATGCCCCCACTGTGATAAAGGATGTCGAACTCCGTTCTTTCTGAGATCCCACATTCGCCAAGCGCACACGGGAGAGCGCCCCTTCACCTGCGACCAGTGCGGAAAAGGATTCGCGGACAAGTCAGGACTAAATAAGCATTTAAAAGGAGGGGCCCATCGCGTCGTTTTGAAGAAGAAGAAAGGGAAGTTACGAAGATCGAAAAAAGATGCGGTTGATTCAGAAGACGAAGATAAGGATGAAGACGAAGATAAGGATGAAGAAGATACGGATGAAGAAGAAGATAAGGATCAAGAAGAAAACAAAAATGAAGAAGATAAGGATGAAGAAGACGAAGACAGTGATTAAATTAGGATTTGTATTTTATATTGTTAAATTTCAATCTTTATCGGTCTGAAATAACACATGTGTACACATTGTTAGAGAATTAATCGGATTTATCTATAATTAATTTATCTAGTGTAATCACTGATTATTATTATTAAATTAGAATTTGTAATTTATTGGACAAAATTACTTAAGTTTTATCAGAATTAAGACACATAAGTACGCATCGTTAGATAATTAATAGCATTTATATAGTTATAGCTAAAATCTGCTGTAATCACATTATGAATTAAATTGTAAGAGCAGTACCTTAAAATATTTACAAACGCATTAATAACGCATCAATAATGAAGCTTCATATCTAAGAATAAATTCGAAATATTTTATTAACGAAATCATTGAGTATTTGCATAAAATAATTATAATTTGACATAATCGATTGAAGGATTTATTTAATTCACTAATTAAATATTTAGTTTTATATGAAAAGGTGAGACTTCATAGTTCATTTTGTAAAACTATAGTCTCATCCGAGAAACGAGTTTTTCATGAAACTTTACTTTGTTCATTTTTGAGACATGCTTTTTCTTTTTTTGGCACGAGTTTGAGTTCATATGACAACTTTGTAAATAATACAAAATAAAACTTAAAATTTCCTGCATTTCTATCTTCAAATTATTAATAAACTAAAAAATTACTTCGGGTTCTCAAGGTAACGTATTTTTCGTAAGTAAACCTAGCAACTTTCAGCTCGATTTTCTAAGGAATGAACGTTGCAAAATTTGTAATTCTGTAGAGATTTACTTATTTTTTTTCAAAATTCTTGCGTCCATTAATCGTATGCTATGCTTTTATTTACTTTCAGATTAAGTCCACATGTCGAACCAGGTCTGCCTTTTGTGTTTACACGTTATCGACGACACGGCAGCGAAATCCGCACAAAAACTCAGAATCAAAACGCTCTTCCAATTAATTACACTTTGTCATCAAAATTACAAATTATCTCAACATGAATTCGACGAGGACGAAATGTGTAACTTTTGCGCCGATTGTTATCCTCTCTTCAGCCAAATGGAAGAAATTAGGAGGCAAATTTCACTCCTGGAGGAAGAAATTGGGTCAAAAGTCAGGGAAATTCAGGCCACAATTCTGCACACTTCCTCCTCCCACCTAGGAAATGATGGAGAAGAGAAAATTCTACAAATTCGTGACATGCTTCTCCGCGTGGCAGGTTGGTTGACATAGTAAAATAATATATATTCCAATTACTTTATATAAATGTTATCTAATGGTGTCACTTATGTAGGAGCTAGTTCGGAAGATTTTGACGAAGGCGAGGTTCAAGTCAAAGTGGAGGAGGAAGACGAAGGGACGATGATGGCGTTGACCCTCTCGGCGATGTGATCGACCAATTCTTGGACGATGACCTCGATTCCTGCTCTCGAACAAGTGCCGAAGACATGAAAGAGGAAAATTTGCGTGACGATGACGACGAAGCTGCCTTTTGTATTATGCCTTTCGCTCCAATCACCTTGACCAAACGCAAAGAAAATCCTAAATGGTATGAGAATCAAATATGTTTGAGTATTTATAATCAGCTCATGATTTGCAATTAATCAGCTTGTTAAAAAAATTGCACATTATTCAATGTGCAATTTTTTATACTTCAAAGTATAAAATGTTGAAAACAATCTACCTATATATTAATTTGCATATTTATAGCTATACGAAACGCAAAAGACAAGATTCTCTACGATTCTCTCTAATGATCCTCCACCCAAAAAGACTAAAACATTCCTTCCAACGTCAAACTCAGAAGAGGGTGACGATGACGATGCAAAATCTGGTCCACCCACACCTGACAAAACTATTCTGTCTTCCCTAATAAAGATCCGCCATATTAAAGTCTCCAATTCAAACTCGGAATCATTAAACGAAGACGCTACAACATCTACTCCTGACAAAGATAACACTACACACGTCGATGACATTGCGACTTCTGATGTTATTCGTCCCCACAAGTGTTCCTCCTGTTCCAAATCTTTCAAAGGCAAAAACGCCCTTTCTCGCCATATCGCGCGGAGCCACGGTGTTCCTTGCACCGCACCACTATGCATCGCCACGTTCGACTCCATGAACGCGCGGGACGCCCACATGAAAACTGCCCACGACGGTCGTGCACCTTATCAATGTGGAATTTGCAAAACCAAGTGCGGTTCTCAAAGCGATCTCGCTGCGCACATGGTGATGCGACATGAAAAAGGGGAGAAGAAATTGTCCTGCGATAAATGCCAGAAGAAATTCTGCCTCGAGGAAAACTTGGCGAGACATTTGAAACTGCATGAAGTCGAGGACATCAAACCGCTCGTTTGTGACGTGTGCGACGACCGATTTGAAAATGAGGAACATCTTAAGACACACATGGCAAAGACAACTCATACAAAGCCGTTGGAGTGTAGTAAATGTCCACAGCGGTTCCAGGGTAGGACGAATCTGGAAAGGTAGTTTTTATTTCCAGGGATTTGTGTTTTTTAGACACAATTGAGAGACTACGGTCAATCTTTTAATTTTCCTATCAGCATAATTAAGATTCGGGGCTTCTTTAGTTAGCCGCCGGTCCTTCATGAACTCATAAGTTTAGATTAAATGGTTAACCATCGAGCGCGATGCTTCTTTTAGGAAATGGTATTTTTGGTCATGATTTCCTCAAACATTTTTTGCTACATTTTTACATTTTTTTGTACGGACGGGGGGGGCATTTTGGACGGAAATCCGCTTGTCTGACGTTTGAACGACCTGAACTCGCACAAATGTCTGATCTGACTGTATTCCCTTCACTATTTCAGACACTTGAGGACACACACTAAGGAAAAAACTGAGAAATGTCCTCACTGTGACCACGTCACAAGCGACAAACCCCTCCTGCAACGCCACATCGCACGCCTTCACCCTTCCGGACCTGCCCCGCATATTTGCCACATTTGTGGAAGAGGGTTTCATTATCGCCTCGACTTCAAGACGCACCTTGCCCGTCACGATGGCAAATTAGCAGTGAAATGTGACGCTTGTGGCGAAACGGTTGCATCATTGAGGAGCTTACAATCCCACTTGATACAGGTGCATGGCCACGACCCGATCGTTTGTGAAGAATGGTATACACATTTTTCAAGATAATACAGTTTGTATGGATGATGATAAGGTATTTTTTAATTTTGCAAAGCGGAGTTACTTATACATCCGTGTCAACATTTTTACAACACAAGAAATTCCACACGGGTGAAAAAAAGCACAAATGCGAGGTGAGAATCCGAAAAAAAAAATTTGATTATTTTAACATAATTTTTACTTTACATTTCTGCAGAGCTTTTCAATTAGCCACATTTCTAATTAATTAGCAATTGATAATTAGAAGGAACATATTTTGTCTAATTAATTGGTAATTAGTAATTAAACTCAGGTTGCTAATTTAATTAATTAATTGGCTAATTAATTAGAATATTGACCAATTAATTGGTGATTTTTAGTGATTTTCTAATTAATTAGTAATTAAAATTAGCTTCGGTAGTACTAGTTAAGGTTAATTAGTAATTAATAATTAGTTTAAACATGCTAGTTAATTAGATAATTAATTAGATTGACTAAAAAGCCCTGCATTTCTGGGATTTCACAGAATATGTAACAGTTTATTACATACTCTTTAATTTCTTTATATTTTCCTCCACAAATTATTTTCAAATATTTGAAAATATATGTATTTACATATATTTCAAAATATAGAATTATGAAACATCAGGAAGTTGAAAGTGAACAAAGTGTATTTGATTATTTTCTCCAAAATTTCTAGACTTGTGGGGCCTGCTTTTACGAGACGGAGGGTCTTAAGAATCACATAAGAACGCACACGGGCGAGCGACCATTCCCCTGCCCCCACTGCGGCAAGGCCTTCACGACTGGTGGAGCTATGAGGAACCATGTAAAGCTTATCCACACTCCCGGATATGTCGCCCCCACCCCGCACAAATGCCCCCACTGCGATAAAGCATTCAAAGCTCCATCCTTCCTGCGGTGTCACATTCACCAAGCGCACACGGGAGAGCGACCCTTTATCTGCGACCAGTGCGGAAAACGGTTCGCGGTTAACTCAACGCTAACTACGCATTTGAAAACGATCCATGGCATCGTTCCGGAAAAGAAGTATAGGTTACCGAGATCGAAAAGGGATACGTTTCATGTGGATGAAGATAATGATTAAGTTAAAATTTGTAATTTGTGCTGTTAAATTTCAATTTTTATCAGTATTATATAAGTTAAATACTAGATACACATTGTTAGGTACATAATGCGCCTCAAAATATTTACAAGCACATTAATCTGAAACTGAGGAATAAATTCTAAATATTTTCTTGACATATTAAAATCCGTGGTTATCTTGAAAAGGCAATCATTTGAAGTTGTTAATTTAAAGGATTTAGTTAATTCACTAAATTAAACTGAAGTTTTGCATGAAAAGATGAAACGAGTGTTTCATGACATTTTACTTTGTTTCAACTTCATTTTTGTTTGAGACGTGCTCGCTCTTTTTTGGCACGAGTTTGAGTTCATCTGACAAAAATAAAAAAAAATTCTGCAGCTTTTCACATTTTCGGCTGATTTGTTTCTTCAAATTTCTAAAAGTAAGTATGTCTTTCCAAGGGTAAGGTACTATTTCTCAGGATACTATAATTCACACGATCCTAGATACTTGATACTTAATTAAACGGTTAGATTATGCCAATAAGTTCAAAATTTGTCAATCTGTTATTTTGTCAAAATTTTACAAGTAACGCTAAGTTTTTAATCGCATCGTATTTATTTCTAGATATCCATTCGACATGTCGAACCAAGTCTGCCTCTTGTGTTCTCGAGTTTTTAGCAACATCGGATACAAATTTCCACAAAAAATCAGACTCAAAACCCTGCACAAACTATTAACACTTTGTCATCACAATTACAAGTCTTTAAACTCGGAATATGAATTTGACGGCGATGAGACGATTAACCTTTGTGTCAATTGTTATCCTCTCTTTGGCACAATGGAAGAAATTAGAAGGCAAATTTCACTCCTAGAGGAAGAAATGGGGTCGAAAATAAACCAAATTCAGGCAATCATTCGAGAAAAATCCTCCTCTCAGTTAGAAAATAATGGCATGGAGAAAATTGTACAAATTCGCGACATGATTTTCCGCCTTACAGGTTTGCAATCGTTTAAATTTAATTGTTTAATTTTCATTCGAAATAATTATGATTGTTCCATTTAGCAAGGAATGATGAGGAAGAACTTGTCGAAAATTTGGCATTACACGATGACGAGGTCCAGGTCAAAGAGGAACATGATCTTATTGATCCTCTCGAGGTTGGCGACCAATTCTTCCTTGCCGACAACAGAAATTCCTACTCCGAGGCAGCAAGTGTCGACAGAGCAGAGGGGGAAGAGATGGATGGTTTAATTGACGGCGAGGAAGACGACACCGCCTTTTGTATTATTCCTTCTTCTCAAAAGAGGTCCAGGGAGAGCCCACGGTATGTATTAAAAAAGCCAAAATTATTAATTTTATTTATTCAAGAGGTAGTAGATACTTAACGATATTGTGGCGCTGGAAGTTGTGGGGACATATGGTGGCATTGTTGTGAGACTTATATGCATTAACATGCACAAGATACGATTTGGCTGAGTTTCTGGTAGACAATGTTCCCCTTCTTTCGCCGCCCATGGCTATTAGTTTACTGAAACTGGTTTATGTTATGACATGCATTTATTAGGCATGTTCACGTCAAGTTGTTGGATTACGGTGACAAATATAAGACAAATACTTAACCGACATTTAAGTAACGACATATATGCGATATGTAACCCGACAAATATGCAGTGTCCAACAATTTTAGTGTTTAACTTAAATAGTAGGTCAGTCTGACCCACGAAGCAAGCCTATCAATGTGACTAATTATTACCACATTTATTTTTATCGCATGTTGAAGTTTGAGAAGTATGTACATGTGCAACTCCATTTGACATGAAATTATTCATTAAATTAATTAAATTATGTACCCGAACCAATCATTTTCCCCCTTCTCTTCACCAACTCCAGAACAATGGCCCCGACTTCAGCATGCCACGAGGTTTCCACCCAAACGCCTGGATTGAAGGTGTTCCCGGCCTCAAAGAATTACGCCGCTATTTACAAAGGATTTTATTACGTTCATCAAAAAACTGGAGTGGATAAACACATTATGCGGTACGTTTTTTAATAGATCTGAGTTTGGCTTTGGGTTTTGGATTTGAGAAAAGCTTTAAGGAATATTATCCGTGGAATATTAACTGCGACTTATTTATATTCTTTGACTCGATATGGTTACAACTAATAAAATGCAATAATAAGTATGAATATGGCTATAGCTGCATCCATAGTCCGTGATTTGTTCATGATTTGGTGATGCTTTCACGGGGTCATAATTTCAGCATGTTAATCACCATAACAATTAAAATATCGACCAATCAGAAAATCGGAAATAAATAATTTTTGGAAAGTTATGGAGTATGGATGCGAGAAACCATCAAATCATGACGAAATCATGAACAAATCACGGACCATGGATACAGCTTATGGCTCTTTCCAGGTGCACGCGACATAACAGAGGGTGCCATGGAAAACTACACCTAACAGCTAACTACGAATCCTTAGCTTCGACAGCATTAGCTGGGGCCGAAAATCATAGCCATCCCGCTGAACCAGATTATTGTGAGCTGAAGTACTCGGTCTGGAAGTTGAAATCTGCGGCAAAATCCTCCCTAGAGCCAACTTCTGCCATCCTTGCTGAGCAACTGGCCAATGTTTCTGTTGAAGTCCAAGGATCCTTTCCAAAAATTAGTTCACTGCAAAGGGTTGTTCAGAGATCTCGTGCTGCGTCAAGACTTTGCAAACAAACAGGAAGCACCCCTGATTCTCTAGTAGAATTGCCGAGCTAGCGTCCACCAACGGTTCCCCAAACCAATATTTTTTGTGAAAGGTCTCCTTAAAAGACAAATACTTACGGAATTTAGATTGGAACAGTTAAACTGCACGATTGACCCAACTTCATATTATATCTGTGTGGGGTAGCTAATTGTTGTAAATGTGATGGTTTAATTTTGGATGTATAGGTTTTTTGGTAGCATTCTCTGCAGAAATTATATTTTCATTAGTATTTTTTACTGAGATTTTTTACGATTCTTCGATTTGTCGTGTTTAAATTATTATTGGTTAAATACATACGTTGACTGGATATGGAAAATCGTATTTGTCATTACAAATTTGTCGGGTTGCATTGCATATTTACCGCTTCATAAATGCCATTTACATATTTGTCACCCCGTTCTACATATCTACGGTATGGTGCAGCAAATTACATAGGTTTACATGTGCAAAAAATTTAATACCTGGCTAAAATATATGTATGCTTCGTTTTAGTGAAATTTGTAAATTTTTACGATGAATGTAATTCATATTTTCAAAATTTTCTGTTTTACAATTATTTTTTTTAATTCGTACTCATACCCTACTTTAGGAAGCGAAAAGGAGATGATTATCAGATAACGAGAAAAACCCCACAGACTAAACCAATTTCGAAACGGATCAAATTGGAGTTTCCTCCACCACCAGCCAGCCTGCGATCCTCAAATGACAACGTAAAATGACAACGATTTAATTTAATTGCAAATTAAAATAGTTATAAAATAATTGAACTAGAATCGGTATCAAAAATGGTACCTATCAATTTTTCACATGCACTTATGACGTTTTATAGAATATTTTATTTTTCTTGACAACCAAGCTCTCCCAGCAAAAATTGCCGTATTCTCAAACTTTAAAATCTGCAAAAAGTTATTAGAGTTATTTCATTTTTGTTAGCTCAATTCTATATCAAACGTTAATTAGATAATTATTCATACATAGTTATGCTTATGTAAAAATTTTCACTTGTGGAGCCCGTTTTCGTCGCCCTTACGCACTTGCGCAACATATTCGAACCCACACCGGCGAGCGACCATATCCCTGCCCCCACTGCGAAAAAGCATTCAAGACGAGGGCAGACATGCTCAAGCATGTGAAGGTTATCCACACCCAGGCTACTCCCACCCCGCACAAATGCCCCCACTGCGATAAAGCATGTCGAATCCCCTTCCAGCGACGTCACATCCGCCAAGCGCACACGGGAGTGCGGCCGTTCACCTGCGACCAGTGCGCAAAAGGGTTCGCAGTCAAGTCGGCGCTAACTCTGCATTTGAAAACGTCCCATGGCGTCGTTCCGGAGAAGACAGACAGGTTGCCAAGGTCGAAGAAGGATGCGTTTCGTGTAGAAGATGACAATGATTAAATTAAAATTTGTGGTTAAATTTTATATTGTATGTACTACCATTAAATTAAATAAAACCATGGATGAATGATTAAATTTGTAATTTATCTGGCTGAATTTCAATTGTTATCAGTATTATGCTAAAGCTTTAGAATAAAATGCCTTTATACAGGCATATTGTTAGACTATTAATAGCACTTGCTTATAATTTAAATCTACTAATCAGGCTAAACTATATATTTATAAATGCCAGCGCTTTAAAATAGTTACAAACACATCAATGCATAGCATAACTGACGAAGAAAATACTAAATTAAAAAAATTGTATGCATATGTTAAAATCCCTGATTATGTCTTAGAATTTATTTAATTCGCTGATTAGCTTCGAGTTTTGCATGAAAAGATGAGGTCATGATGGAGAGAGGATTCTCCCGCGACAAGAAAAACATCACCAATTTCGAAACGGAACAAATCTGAGTCTCCTCCTCCGCAGACGACACGATCCTCACCTCGCGGCAAAAAGTCGGTCACCACCACACCCGAAACGCTAGCCCTTTCCCTGGGAAGGATCGACTCTCCGATTAAAAAATCGTACCCATCATCAAGCGACAATGAGAAACCAGAACTAGGCGACAAGGATTATGTCCCAAAAACCGAAAATGAAGTTCCCGTCAAACCCTCCTCCGTCGAGGGAGTCAAACTTATTCCTTGTCTCGAGCCGTCCTGCACCCCCACATTTCGCACCCCTCTGTACACTGAGTTGGTCCGAGAACAGTGTAAAATTTGCAAAAACAAGTTCCACGGGAAACTTGCGCTTGGCGCTCACATGGTGATTCGCCACGAAGACGGGGAGAAGAAATTGTCCTGCGTCAAATGCGGGAAGAAATTCTGCCTCGAGGAAAACTTGGCGAGACATTTGAAACTGCATGAAGTCGAGGGGGTCAAACCGCTCGTTTGTAACGTGTGCGATGACCGATTTGAGAACGAGGAGAAACTACAGCGTCACGTGGAAATACACGGCCCCAAGTTTCAATGCCAATATTGCGAAAGGAAATTCCACCATAAGCTAGCGTTGCAAAGGTATTTAGTTAAATGTTGAGAAACTGCAAAAAGCATGTGATCGTTTGAGGGGGAAGCGGTCAAGGCATCCTAAAGGTGGAGCATATTTATATGTATGTAGGTCTTAGGGGGTAGGGGTAAAAATTATTCGAGAATCGATCACATGGTTTAATATGTTATGCTGTAAGACTCCTGATTACTTGCAGGTTTTCATTGATTTCTTGTCCGCACATTTAATTTCTTGCGTGTGGTTTTTATTCACCAGAAGCACTGCTTGTACTGAATTAGTTACTCATTAATTATGCATTTTCAGCCATGAGCGTTCCCACACTGGTGAAAAACCGGAGAAATGTTCCCTCTGTGAAGCCGCTTTTGCCAAGAAGATGACCCTCCAGCGTCACATGATCCGAGATCATTCCTCCACCATCTCAACGGCGCAGAATACTTGTCTCATTTGTGGAAAAAGGTTCCATCTTCGGTGCGACCTTAATCTTCACCTGGACCAGCACGAGGGCAGATATCAAGTCAAATGCGACACGTGTGGCTTAATGTTTTTAAACGCCAAGACACTACTAGCTCACGGTGACAAGATGCACGGGAAAGATCTCATCATTTGTGATGAATAGTAAATATTTTGCCAATTTTTTCGGAAACACGTACATAAATTTTTAAATTTTTAACACTTTTTTTAAGTGGTAGAAGCTTTACATCAACGCAAACACTACAAGAACACAAGAGGATTCATACAGCAGTGAAAAAGCACAAATGTGAAGTAAGGCTACAATTAATCTTTTGTAATTTATTTATTTATTCAATAATTGGGCAAGTTTTTTAGTTCGAAAAATCTTTGCGATCCAAGATTTTCATCTTGTCCTGTACTGTTAGAAATGTGGTATGAAAGTTGATACCGCTCGGTATTATCTACCGATCCGTAAAAATTTGCTACCAATATATTAAAACTGTAAGGGGCCGTCCATAAATTACGTAACGCAAGGGGGGGGAGGGGGGGTCATGGGAAGTGCGTTACGAATTGTTATGAAGGGGGTGGGGGGTATAAAAAATTTGTTACGTAACACATTTTATAAACTGGACTAAAATTCGCCAAATATGATACGCCGAGCATATTGAATTCATGTCATCCAAAAGGTTTCAGTGTACGCATGTAGTAAATATACATTTTTCATTAGTTTTCCAGGTGTAAATTGAGAAAAGGTTGCATTACAGTGGGGAATTTTAGGGCGGAACCGGTCAAGGAAGGGGGGGGGGGGGGTAACGAGTCCATCGTTCGTTCTGTTACCAAGAAATATACGAAAAAATCTAGTTTATTTTTACATAGATATGTACAACCAGATCAATTCATTTGCAAAAGTTTGCGGTCAAACTTTGACCTTACATATCTCAAAATGGAGTAACCGAAATGATCTGGTTGTATAAGTAAAAATAAACTGGATTTTTGGCTCTATTTTGTGGTAACAGAATGAGCGATACCCCCTTTCCTTTCATCGGTGCCGCCCCAAAATTCCGCACAATGCATTGCGAGTGCTAAGTAAATCATCTGCGGTGAAATCAAATTTATGTTACGTTACGAAGGGGGAGGGGGGGTAGTCGAGAAGCGTTACGATGCCGTTACGAGGGGGGAGGGGGGGTCTAAAAAATGACGATTTTTGCGTTACGTAATTTATGGACGGCCCCTAATATGGAGTACGGTATTACTGATTACCATACCACTTTAGTCGAGTCAGGTATGCATGAATACCGCTTGGTATTATGTTCATCCTGACTTTATAAAAGTGTCGGTGACAGTAGGTCATTAGCTGAATTTGGAAAAATGACATGATTTATTTATTTTTTGCTCAATTCCATATCAAACATTAATTAGTTAATTATACTTATGTAAAAGTTTCAACATTTGTGTCTTGTAAATTAATTTTAATTTCCAAAACTCTGTTTAACTTTAGACTTGTGGAGCCCGTTTTCGTCGCGCTGACGTACTCACAAAGCATATTCTAACCCACACCGACGAGCGACCATACCCCTGCCCTAACTGCAAAAAAGTATTCAAGGCGAAGGCAGACCTGCTCAGGCATGTGAAGGTTGTCCACACCCAGGCTACGTCGCTCCCACCCCGCACAAATGTTCCGACTGCGATGAAGAATGTCAAACCCCTTCCCAGCGATGTCACATCCGCCAAGCGCACACAGGAGTGCGGCCCTTCACCTGCGACAAGTGAGCAAAAGGATTCGCGGTCAAGTCGGCGCTAAGGCTCGTTCCGGAGAAGAAAGAGAGGTTGCCACCAAGGTTGACAAAGGATGCGTTTCATGTAGAAGAGGAAAAAAGACTGAATCTTTATTGTAAAATTTCGATTTTTGACACTTTCAAATCAGTTGCTACACAAAAAAAGAGGAAATCAACAGGGTTTATTTATGATATTGTACGTTTTTGCACAGAAAGTCTTGCGAAAACGCATACCTATGTACGCATTTAGTCTTAGTCATTAGTCGTCAAAATCTGTGTGGTTTTTGTACATCAACTGCATATGTACATAGTGAAATGCGCTAAGTTTAGCAAATCTACGGGTGCTGCTTAGACACACATGATTTATACATATGTTTATAGAGAGTGGAAGAGTTAAAATAAACGGTTTGTCAAGAAAGTTGGCGTCATGGTGCAATTTGTATCTTGTTTTGTTGTTCACGTGCAGATGGTCAATTTTACATGCATTTACGCATTCGCTTGTGTATAGATATTTACATACATGCATACATACGCATTTCAATACGTATGCATAAATACTCAAACGTACCTGTTAGTACTATGCGACATATACTGTACACATAACTCCACATTTCCAGTTTTGTACTTATGAAATAAGTTTATTTATTTTATTTATTTATTCACATCAAGCTTGATTTAAAACAAAATCTTGTTACGCTTGATGGTAGTATACTACTTTAGTAGTATAAGTAGTGTAAGTATAAGTAGTGTATACTACTTTCTCCATAAAAAAGAACAAATGAGTCGGTTTTACTTATCCAATTTTCCACAAAGCGTGCATCATGGGCATGACCGCATAATTTACGTATGAAAACGTGTCCCATGACATGATACGTCATTCTGTACTTATTTCTTTTCACCTTAGCTTTTCCTGTCAGTTTCCGGCACTTCGAGCAGTTGAGTCCACTGTTATGTATATATGATTATACATAAATAAGTGGTACACAGTGAGAGGAGACAGAGGAGAGTATTTATTAGTGGAGAGTTAAAGATGGAGTGAGTACAGATTCATAACTAATTACATATACATATCTACGTAGGCGTACATATACCTAACACCACGGATTAATACACGAAGAAGTAAAAAAAATAAATTCCAAAAAACAGAAATTACTTGTCGTACATATAAAAGTTTTAGTAGAAAAATATGCTCCTCAGCGCAACAACATTCAGCACAAATACTGGAATTACTGGAATAGTTGATACGAACAGTTTAAACACTGTAACCCGTTTGCATGAAGGAATACGGCATTTTTACGGTAATCTCACAGTTTCTCACATTAATCGAGCCTCACCTGGAGTTTTACAATCGCCAGAGCCGAACGAGCTCACTTCCGAGACCGGCCCTCCCTTCTGCTACTTGTCAGCAATCAGTGACCTCGGAAGGCGATGGTGTCTAATTTAATGATACTTTTGTTGCATTTCTTACAATTTTTTATATGCAGCGCTTGCTGTTCAACTGGAGGGGAGTGTTACCATTGGAAAGGATGACCAATAAAAATTCACCTCCTCGATGAAGGAACTTTCGCCAGAACTGGATTCGAAGTTGATCTGCACTCCCAAAGTATTTGTCCTCGTGTGCGGGTCAAGTCAAGGTGATTTATTGTTTTAAGGGCCGTCCATAAATTACGTAATCGCGATTTTCTAGACCGCGTTTATCACGCGAGATATCTTTAGACTCAGATACCCTCTTCCGTTACGTAATTTATGGACGGCCCCTTATATTACATAGAATTCTGCTTGAATTATGCAGGTTTTCTTCGCGGCGAAATTCCTCGCAATGCAACGCTCTTCCATTCTAATTTACAGTACCAGACAACATTACCGTTTACAATTAAAATTCCCAAAAATCAAAATCCACTTCCGACCAGTCTGGAATCTCCAAATCTTTCGATCCACTACTTTCTGAATTTATACGCATGGACAGAACAGAACAGTTATGCGAAACTTGCCTCCAGAAAAATACAATTAGTTGGTCGCACTTTTATCAATTTTCCCACCGAGATTGAATCCGTGTCCGTCACAACGTCCAATCTTCCCCTTACTTTGACGCCACCGACCCCAGGAAAGTATTACCTGCTCAGGGAACCCATACTTTTCGCAACTTTTGAAGATAAAAGAAACATGCGGGATAAAATTGCAATAATTGTCAAGATATTAAAGACACGAAGTTCGATTTGGACTGAAATGGAAGATAAGTTGGTCATGGGGGCGGAATCGAGGGAATCAGCACGTCAGTCAGTGACATGGGGAAAGTTGGTGGACAAAAATTTTGCTGTAAAATTTAACCCATTTTATGTTCAAACGGGTTTAGTACTTCCCGGATTAAGGATTCAGCACTTCATAAATGTAAGTAATTCAATTTTCTATCTATTTATTTTAAAATTTTCAGAATCTGAAAATTTTGCATGTGAAATTCAGATGCATTTTTTAGTTAAATCAGTTTATTGATTTTTGTACATTTTTGCTCTGCACTGAAAGAAATGCAAGATGCAAGAAGTGCAAAATTTACATAAGACACACGACATATAAGTACATATAGTCGAAATATTTGTGCTATAATATTTGTAGTCACCTCATTTGCAAATTTTGAGACATGTGCGAGAGACAGAGTTTATTTAACGGGGAAAGCTCGTATCGTCCAAACTTGACATAGAGAGATTTATGCAAATGAGGTGCCAAGAAGTGTGCGTCAAACAAGACGATTTGTTCCATGTGTTTTTTTTCACGGGAAACACTAATATTAACAATATAATTATGTATATTTAGGCTAGGTTCCTTGTTCCAGTGGAATCTATCCATTACGGAGGTATGGAATTGATGAGGGAGATAATAATAAGAGGAGGGCGTAACTCGGCAGCCCCGTCACCTGTTGAACCAAGACTTGAAAATTCCAGGCGTTAATGACATTTTTGTCGGTGTCATCTAGAAGCTCACTTTTCTAGCGGCAATCTTACAGTCAGAAAATGTACAGTGGTTATAAATATGTATACCACTATGTATGTATGTACATATATGTTTATAATTGCTTCATATACAAGTGAAATACTATACATATGTACATAGACATGCATATATATCATGTATTAAGAAGTGAAAAATAAAATATCATAAAATGAAAATTTAACACAATTTGATTGCAAATCTATTTTTTAGAAATTCGAGGTTTTAAGAAATACAGCATGAGAATTGTGGACGCTCGAATCGCAGTTGTATACATATAGATATTTATGTATATGTACATAAGCAAGTCCAAGCTCAACGTTTCCTTAGGTACTTTAGGTAGCATATTACATACATAATTTGATAAATTGGTGATTTCTACAAAAGTTAGATAATCTCTTGCTAGGAAATACTTATTGACTTTCTCCTTGTATGACGCCGATAACATGCAGAAGTTACTTCGTATGCAAAGTGTGTATATATGTACCTGCCTCTTACATATCATGTGATTAGTCAAATTACAGGAATAAATCCATACTATTCTTTCCTCTCTAAGTTACTCCTAAAAAGAATTTGTGCAGAGTTAATTTTCATATGCATATGTAAATATATACATACATTTGTATGTATATCGGTATTTGTCACACTGGCTCATAAATATCAACATACATACGTTCGTATATACGTATGTACATTTTTAAGGTTTGAAAGTGAAGGGCATCATGATGAATTAAACTACGAGAGAGAATTTGATACATAACGTGGCAGACTATTTAAGGGAATTGGGCCCCTCTTCCTTGGATATACAAATGTATGTACATATGTAGAAGGTTTTTGGTTTTAAGCGACCCTATTTAACTTAATCACATCAATTATGCATGGTCCAGGGTTGTACCTAATTTATCTGAATATTGGTAAATTGACTGCTACAATTTAATGTCTAATTAAAAATAGCAGTCAAGGATTAGTCTTGTTGATTATATGTACATATGTATATACATATCCATAAAAAATGCATAATATATGTATGTAAGTATGTATCTTTAGTTAGATAAGCATCCAAGTTGCTGTGTTTATATATCTAGGCTATACATAGATAAGGTCGTAATTTTTTGAACTGATGTATAATCGTACATATGTATGTACTAGCGTATAAGCCCGTCTCCCGCCGGGCGAGTGAAAATTATAACCTGGAAATATCTGTCGGTAACGGAATTGAAAGAAAATTATCTGCAACGCAAGGGAGAGTAACGAACGTCAAGTTTCGAATGGCGCGAAAAGTAAAAACAAATTAAATTATAAAAATTCAATGTCTGATGGTAATTATGTTAGGATGGTTGTAAAATGGTGGTTATTTTGGGTGGTTATCTTGACTATTTCGCTGCGATGTGGGAGGTTAATGTAGACTCACTGACAATGCAAGTTTTTTACGTGTACAACTCAGATCTGCATGGGACCAATTTTATTTTGTTCACCACAAAAAATAAGCATACCCGTATTTTTTCATTTTTCATAATGCGCTAATTTGAGCGCGAGGCGCGAATTTTAAACTGTTTTCCAGCCAAAACCACGGTTTTTAAAAATTCCGTAAATTTTCGAATTTCAGCGCGAATCCAAAAATTTGAAAACATGTCTCTTCAGAATGACTTACTTGACTTATGAAAAATGCACATGCACTATTTTTCGAAAAAATAAAAATTTGAAAGAGTTTATAATTTTAATGAATTTCAAAATCTGGCAAAAAATTTTGAAATTCAAATTTCGAGACAATTGGATTTTGCATAAGTCAGGTAAGTCATTCTGAAGAGACATATTTTCGAATTTTTGGATTCGCGCTAAAATTCGAAAATTTACAGAATTTTTAAAAACCGTGGTTTTGGCTGGAAAACAGTTTAAAATTCGCGCCTCGCGCTCAAATTAGCGCATTATGAAAAATGAAAAAATACGGGTATGCTTATTTTTTGTGGTGAACAAAATAAAATTGGTCCCATTGAAATCTGAGTTGTACACGTAAAGACTTGCATTGTGAGTACAATAGCACGTCGAAGTAAAATAAATAATATTCTGACTATCTAGTGCCTTCGTCAGAATATTTCCCTGTTTTTCTTTATTCACGGTGTTTGTTAAATTAAATTGGAGGTATAATTGTATTAAGTAAAACCCCAAACCTCCGTCTTCAAACTATGAACCACGATGCGGTGTCGTACTCAATTAATGTAACGGGACCTTACTCCCACTTTATCCAGTCGAGTGACATTTCGGTGTGCTCGCGACTCACTCCCACTCCACTCCTACTCCAATCCGCAGCGGAGTGACCACTTACTCCTTGAGTATAAGTCCGTCTCCTGTACAGGGGTAGTTTCTGTGATTTTCAATATAACTCTAAGGAGTGATTGGGCTAGGGCTGGGCTGGGCTTGGGCACAGTACTACTCGCTACTTCACTCTAAGGAGTGATTGGGCTCGGGCTGGGCTTGGGCACCGCCGCCCACTTATCTTACCTAAATAACCACCACCCCTCAGATAACCACCACCCCTCAGATATCTACCACCCTCTGATAACCACCACCCCCAGATAACCACCAGCCCCAGATTACCACCACCCCCAGATAACCACCACCCCCAGATAACCACCACCCCCAGATAACCACCATCCCTAAATAACCACCACCCCAAGATAACCACCACCCCCAGATAACCACCACCCCCAGATAACCACCACCCCCAGATAACAACCACCCCCATATAACCACCACCCCAAGATAACCACCACCCCCAGATAACCACCACCCCCAGATAACCACCATCCCTCAGATAACCACCATCCCTAAATAACCACCACCCCCAGATAACCACCACCCCCAGATAACCACCATCCCTCAGATAACCACCATCCCTAAATAACCACCACCCCCAGATAACCACCACCCCCATAAGCCCATACAAAGAGTACTACACCTTCTGGTATTTAATTTTTTGAATTTAATTTATTTCGAATTTTCGCGCCATTCGAAACTTAACTTTCTCCACTTTCACTTCCGTTTCGGAAAATCACTTTCACTTCCGTTGCCAAAAGACATTTTCAGCTTATAATATAGATAATTGATCTTACATATTCGTCTACGGAGGCTCCGCCACTAACACGTGAACGTTTTTGACCTTCAATTACTGGTTGAACGGCTTGGAGTGGAGGTCCCGAACATGTTCTATGTGAGAGCCCTTTTCTCGAACTACAAGTCGACATCGGCGATTCCAACTTTTGTACACTGATTTGACCATGGCGAGGTCAACTTTAGACCACTCCTCTCTCAAAACTTTCCAAACTCCATCAAAAGTTTTTGGGTGGCGGAGAAAAGCCTTTTGTTTCAGATATCCAAAGCCGAAAAAATCCATGGGACTTACATCGGGTGACTTCACAGGTATTTCACTATTTTGGATGATTGTTATCCCGAGTCTAGCTTTTAAGTCCTTTGAGTATTCCTGGGTCAAACGGGCCGTGTGCGATGACGCTGCGTCGTGATGAACTATCACTTTGTTTGTGTCCTTGCCATATAGTTTTGGGACACAAACTTCCAAAAGCGGTTTTAAAACAAAGTCAATGTAGTACCTCGCAGTTACCTTCACTTTTTGTGGAACTTTGATAAGTGGGAGGACACCACGCCCAGATAATGCACCAACCACCATGAACTACTTGCAAAAGTTTTCCGCGTGCGGGATGGCCAATCTTCTGGAATTATTTTCTCCTTTGGTTGTATAGTAAATTTTTCTCTGACCGTTGGTATCTTGTAGAGAAAATAATGCTTCATCCAACGACACTAAAAAGTCACTTTTATCTTTTGTCAGGTAATTCGCATAAAATTTTTTGCAGGTCAGACGACGATTTTTTTTTATGCTTCTCAGTCAGCTGATGGACTCGGAATTTTCTTCTTTTTTGCTTCCCCAAAATTTTAATTGCTCGACGCACACTAGTCTCTGATACTTTGGTTAGACGTGCCACTTCTCTCTGGGGTGGTGGATTGTCCTTAGAGGTCCATAGGTCAATTTTCTTAAGCACTGGCCGAGTTAGCACTTTTCGGACTCGTGTTTGAGGTGGTGGTGATTGTCCTTTGCTTCGAGCTTGTCGTTGTTGACCTTTATTTTTCAGTACCTTATGTATCCCTCCTTTCGAAACTTGTTGTCCTTGAATTTTGAAGTGCTTAATTATCTGTGTGTACGAAAAATTAAGTTTGGAAAGTGTTTTTATGGTACCCTCTTGTTCTAAGGTCAATGGTCGAGTCATTTTTGAATCTAGAGAGCTAATTTTTTGCTCAGCCCTTGTCAACAATCACGTGTCGCTATGCTCAAAATTTGGAACCGAAACTCCTACCCGTTTCGGAGCAATTTAAGATTGACCGCGTTCACGTGTTAGTAGCGGATCCATCAGAAATAATTATTAGAAATAATTTAAAATGTTCAGATTTTCACGATTTTGGTTATGCGTCATCGAGTCGTACGTTAATGGAGTTGCAAGATTCTCACTAAACTTGAAATAGAGATCCCGTACTATATAGTGGCGATGGGGAACTTTGACCTAAAAATGGTCAAAAAATGATTCTAGAAATCTCAAATTTTGGTATAATACGTAAAATATATCTGACCACGTGTCCTCAAAATTTCATAAGCTTTCCTTGAAAAACAAATTTCGTACGCAACTTCAAAGCGAGGAAGTCGGGAAACGAGTTTTTTGTAAGTACCAAAATCTGAGCGAGAAAGACTCGAAGAAGGCTTGACTAAATTTCAACAAAGGGAGGTGTGGCAGTGCAAAAATTAGGACATACATAAAAAAGTATGGCGAATCCGAAAATATCAACTTCAAATACGCACCACAAGAAAAAACCATCATATTGACCCCTCGAAAATGAAAAGGAATTTAATTTATTTTTGGAAAGTACGGATCCACGTTTGTGCCTAATGCGACCATGAAGTTGAAGATTAATCCAGACTATGCGCATCATATGTAGGCTCATAAGTTGTGGGTCAAAGCGTATTCAAATAAATCTGCAGCA